AGGGTCCAGCGTTGTCACCACCACAATAAGGCCATTGCCCAGTAATATGGCCAGGTAGATGGCCAGGAAGGCAGAAAAAAGGAGGACAGGGTGTCCTTGGTATCCCAGCAAGATGAATTCCTTCACTGTGCTTTGGTTCTTCCAGCATCTGGCCTGCTCAGCATCCATCTGCAAAGGCAAGTGAGGCATTTATGAGTCTCAGGTCCAGTTTCTGGATCAGGATCAGGAGGACAGTGGTGGGTGACAAAGGGTAAAAGTACCTGTCTCCTCCCACTAAGGATCATCTGTCCTTTGCAGTGACAATTTATTGAGGAGAGGAGAAATAATTCAACAACCAAGGGCAAAACAGTCCATTTACCCAAGAGTAAATGGTAAAGTCGACCAGAGGCAGACTTTGGTCATCTTTCACAACATGGTGCCCTTTGCAAGGCCAAAATCTGGTGCCCCAAAATGGATCTTCTCAATTATGGATCTTCTCAATTTTGAGCCCTCTTAGTTCTGTGCCCTCTGTGTGTGTGTGTGTGTGTGTGTGTGTGTGTGGTGGGGAAACTGCCAAAATCACCCTAAATCTGACGCTCCATTCAAACCAATGGAGCTTACTCCTGAGTAGACATGTACGATTGCACTGTGAGTGTGTGGCAGGGGGAATAGAAGAAATACAAAAAAGGGGAAAGAAGAACAAAAACAGAGAGGATGAGTGAAACAGAAAAAGAAGATGGATATATGTGATTGAAGAAAGATTAAAAGTAGCTCATGCAATTGTTGCGGATTAGGGTTCAAGGTGATCCAGAGAAGGGTGGTCAGGTGCAAAAGAGGACAGGGCTTCTGCATCTGCATGTTTGACACTTATTTATTAATGATTTCAAATTCTAACTCACCCTTCCTCCCCGAAGAGAGCCCAGGGTAACTCACAACAATAAAAATGTTGTGTAACAGAATTCAAAGCAGCACTATAATCTATGGTCAGCTTCATAAAATTATTAATCACAAGCCTGGATAATTTTTAATTTTTTTTACATGTTTCCTGAATGTAGGTTAAAAGGGGGAATGTCTGATTTCCCTGCGTTCTTTCAAACGTGTTCTGAAAACTGTATTGTAGTGTATTCTTAGAAGACGGACTGGTTTGCTTGTTTTTAATCATGTTTAGCTGTATGGACTCCGTAGCCTAAAATTCCCTGCTTTCTTTCTCACCTTTCTATCTCACCTTTCTCACCTTCTATCTTTTTTCTCACCTTCTATCTCACCTTTCATTCCAAATTCATGCACATGAAATATGTGTTGATGCAATTGTGTGAATTTTAGGCTCCTGACTTAATGGCCCAGGCTTGTTGTGAGAATAAAATACAATAAAAATAAAATGAGAATGTCTGCAGAGGGAACTATGTACCTTAAAGCTTGCCTCCCCCAATAAATCTTGAGTTCTATGATCAGTGGAGGAGGCCCTTTGATTACTTCAAAATGTATCCCACCTTACTTTGTTGGGGGTTGGCGGCTCCCCCTCATTCTGTTGGGTGCCTTGACAGACAGGCAATACATAAATACAGCAAGTAAGTAAATTAATAAAATAAAATAAACGTTGCCAACCAAGTCTTGCCCTGAAAGCACTACTAAGGATGTTTGCATTTTAGTACAACAACAAACCTGTGAGGTAAACCCTACTTTGAGCAATAAGGACTGGTCCAAAGTCACCCAAGAAACTTTATGGATAGAAGGGAATTTCAACCCATGTCCCTTTGCTACCAACTCAACACTGTAGTCCTTATATTACACTGGCTTCATAAATCTGCTTTTCCCTCCTGCATGAACAAGGAAGTACTAGTTCTGTGGTACGAGGATTTCCATTGCTCTGCAAGCTTCTGTCAGGCAGTCTGTGGTGCGCCCACATTAAAAATCACATTGATTTTTCATTGTATTTTATTCTAATACTGTGTTTATTGGATTACAAAGAAAAGAGATAAAACGAACAACAAAAGTACAATTAAAGATCACACAAAGCATCTAGCACAAAGCATCACAAATGCTATAAGGGGCAGAAAAAAATATTAAATGGCCCACCAAGACCCTCAGCAATTTTCAAGTGGTGTGTGTGCGGGGTGGGGAAGAGTTTGGGAACCACAGAAATAGGACAAGCAAGAACAATGAAAAGTAGCTGAATTTTTTGGTGACAAGAGGCTGAAAGATAGAGAGCAAACAGACAGAGATAATATAGGTAAGTCAGATACCCAAGTGAACATTTCTACATCTGAATGATGTCCCTCCCCTAATTTATTATTATGGAGAAATTATTATAGAATTATGGTACTCTTAAGCTATCAGGAGCAGTGTTACCTTTTTTTGCAGCTGCGTTTCTGCTGTCCACAGCTCTTGCCAGGCGCTGTATTTCCCTTACTGGGGTCAGAGTAGGGGACCCTTTAGCTTTAGCATGGGAAGCAGTGCTCTCCCAAATGCCTATTGCTGATGTGGGGAGTGTCAGAGAGCAGTTGGCTGCTAACTAACTTTGCCACCAAAGGTCGTTGTTAGCCAACCCAAGATCAGCATCAACTGTAGCAGTGGTAGGATTCCAGTGGGAATAATATGCTCATTCCATTGGGTAAACAGCAGAGAAAGAAGTACATTTTAAATCAAGAGCATCAGAAGAGCCCCACTGGATCAGTCCTAAGTTCCATCCAGCCCATCCAGCCCAGTCTAGCAGGATTTGAAGGCAATAATGGTTTCTCCCTCCAGCAGCTGGTTCACAGTGACTAGGTAAAGATAAGGTAAAGGTGACTATAGGGTTGTGGCGCCCATCTCACTTTCAGGTCGAGGGAGCCAGCGTTTGTCCACAGACAGCTTTCCGGGTCATGTGGCCAGCAGGACTAAACCGCTTCTGGTGCAATGGAACACCGAGATGGAAACAAGAGTTTATGGAAACACCGTTTACCATCCCGCCACTATTTATCTGCTTGCACTGGCATGCTTTTGAACTGCTAGGTTGGCAGGAGCTGGGACAGAGCAACAGGAGCTCACCCCATGGCGGGGATTCAAACCGCCAACCTTCTGATCGGCAAGCCCAGGAGGCTCAGTGGTTTGGACCAGGCATAGGCAAACTCGGCCCTCCAGATGTTTTGAGGCTATAATTCCCATTATCCCTGACCACTGGTTCTGTTAGCTAGGGATAATGGGAGTTGTAGTCCCAAAACATATGCCTGGTTTAGATCACAGCGTTACAGTGTTATATCCATATATTCAATAGCCACTTAAACTATTACCATCCATGAACCGATATAACTGCTTGTTAAAGCCAGATAAGCTAATAGCCACCTCAAGATCATGTGGTAGGGAGTTCCATAGATACTTTATGCAATGTGTGAAGGAGTGCTTTCTTTTGTCTGCCTTGTACCTGCTGTTTGAGACAATTTCATTCAATCCACCATGACCTCTTTCTTGGTGAGTCACCACTAGCTCAGACCCATTGCTGAATACGTAAAGGTGAATGATCTGCCTCAAACGTGCACTATTTTATACTTATTTTGCCATTTCATTGTGCATTTGTTCAGTATGCAGGGATGGTTTTGGATAGGGCTAGGTACAAGATTTGACTGCAACCCAAACTGAATCAAGCTAATTTGGGGGGTTCTGGACTTTAGCCATGTTAGGTTGAGATGACCATCACCCCGTTGGCCATGCTTCCTGAGGCTGATGGAAAATAGAGTTCAGCAGCATCAGAAGGCCACAAATTACCATAGGTATCCCTGGTTTCCAGAATCATCAATATCCATAAGCTTGGCAACAATCACAGCTCCCCCCCCCCACTAAGAGCAGGGCCCACTCTGAACCATGTCAGGCAGGTGCAGAGCTCAGGATACCCTAAAGCCCCTTCTGCTTCCTCCCTAGGGGTGGGGAGGGACCAACAGTACCTCCTATTCACTAATAGACCACTGTAGAGTCGGCGTGGAGAATGAGGCAGATCTACTCCCCAAAGAGCACAGCACAGCTGTTGTTGCCATGATGGCTGCTGTGGCAGCAGCAGGCAATGCATTCCCTGGAGGCCAGATCTGCTGCCCCTGTAGATCCTGCTGCTTGAGGCAGTCACCTTACCTTGCCTCATGGGTGGGCCAGCCCTGTGTGTGTGTTGCATTGTGCAACTGACATATGTGATTGTTCCTAGCTTTCTCTTTTCTGTGTGGGTGTTCTCTAGGTTTCCAGCAGTCTTCCAAAGACCTGTTAACCCTTATAAGCAATAAAGTGACCAATAACCCACCCCCAAGTTTTACAGTTCTGAAGGCAAATTTTTCATTTTTACAATAAAAAACCCACACTGAATAATAAGGAAGCAGACATTACAAATTTGTATTTTTTAAATCATAGATTTATTTATTTCAGTTTCCATTTCAGGACCAGACAAGCAATTACAAATCTCTTTTCAGTTCACCGAGGTCAAGGCTTATTACACACCTGCATTGTTCATTTCTTAAAACCAATATATAAAAAAACCAAATGAAAGAAACCCTTTTTAAAATTAAATAAATATTTGTCCACGAATATATATCTAAAATTGTTCTGCTGAAAATTCACAATACTACCTCATCTAAATCTCATAATCTGTAGTAATTTATTCAAATTAACTTGCTTACAAAAATGCAAACTTTCAAAATACGAACAAAACGAAAAAAAATGGGTTTATCAGGATAAATTCACACTAACATGCTGATGAATTTTCACAAGGATTCCTTAAATGGGGTGGGGGGCAAATTGCTGCAGAAATTTAGGATAGGAAAAATGAGAACCTGAGAGAACTGAAATCAACAGATGTATCAAACCCAATCTATGAACTTACCATTTGTCTCTCTCTCAGCTTCTACCCCTCCAACCCAATCTTTTATAAGGGGGAAATAATACTCAATTCCTTTGTAGGGTTGTTGTAGACTAATGCATATGAAATCCTTTGAACAAGTAAGGAAATGCCAAATATTAGTATGAGTGAGATTTTGATAGTGGATTCAGTGGACGCCTGTGCCAACCTATTTCCTTCCTAATAGCTTCCTAATGGCTGCCTTCACTTCCCTGTTTCTCAGGGTGTAAATAAGTGGGTTGCAGAGGGGAATGATGACTGTGTAGAGCAGGGAAAGCAACTTGTCCACTTTCACAGAGTCGGGTGTCTTGGGCCTCAGGTACACGACTGTTGCAGAGCCATAAAAGAGAATGACCACAGTAAGGTGGGATGAGCAAGTGGAGAAGGCCTTTTGGCGTCCTGTGGCTGATGGCAAGTGCAGGATGGTTCTGGTGATGTGTATATAGGAGGCCAAAATGAGGAAAAAGGGGATTATAACAAAGAGAAAGTTATTGGTATACACAGTCAACTCGCTGGCATACAGGTCAGCACATGCCAGGCTGAGTATTGGTGGTATGTCGCAGAAGAAGTGGTCAATCTCATTGGGCCCACAAAAAGGCAAGGAGAAGATGAACCCAATTTGCAACATCTGCACAGGGAGGCTGATGGCAAAGGAACTGACCACCATCCCCACCCGCACCTTATGGCTCATGATGGTCATGTAGCGGAGAGGCAGGCAGATGGCAAGATAGCGGTCATAGGCCATGGCTGCCAGTAGGAAGCACTCGGTCCCACCCAGAAAAAGCAGGAAAAACATCTGTGAGGCACAGGCTAGTAAAGAGATGGAGAGGTTCCCTGAGATTAGATTGGCCATCATTTTAGGAAGGGTGACTGAGGTGTAGCACATCTCCAGTCCTGAGAGACTGCGCAGGAAGAAGTACATGGGTGTATGTAAGGCAGGGTCCAGTGTTGTAACCATCACAATAAGACCGTTGCCCAGTAATATTGCCATGTATATGGCCAGGAAGGCAATAAAGAGGATAGCAGGATATTCTTGGTATCCCAACAAGATGAACTCATTCACTGTGCTCTGGTTCTCCCAGTGCTTGGCCTGTCCAACATCCATCTGTGGAGAAACAGAGGTACAGGGATGAATCATGGAACTCTAGATACTGATTTGGCAGCCACAGGATAAGATGAATGTTTATTTCCTCCAAATGTTGGTCTCAATAATAAACTAAATGTAATGAAAACTTCCTGCCTCCACCTAATATCATGCAGATCATAATTTATACATCTTTTCTAAATCAGGTTGTTAATATTTCCTTGATTTGGGACTTAAATTAAACAGCACTTTCTGCAAATGTGCTTTTTGTCAGCATGTTATTGCTTCATTGTATATGATGCATTTTATTATTATTTGTGCACTAATTTGAGTTGTGCTTTTTTTAAATAAAGCAGTATGAACACACACACACACAGAGAGAGAGAGAGAGAGAGAGAGAGAGAGAGAGAGAGAGAGAGAGAGAGAAAGAAAGAAAGAAAGAAAGAAAGAAAGAAAGAAAGAAAGAGACACACACACTGTATATCTAGCACTGTGACGGAAAATTGCCATCCATAAAGTGTCTGAAGTGCCGCTTAAGGGCCAACAACTGATGCAACATTATTCCTCATTGACTAATATGTGCATGTACGATTTTGAGCATGCCCACCTGGGTGAAACATGGTGCATCCCAAGATGGAGTTCAAAATCTGACCTGACCTCTAGGACATTATATGGGAGAGATACAGCTAACCCCTAACTGGGGTGCTTGCAAATTTCTCCTCTGATTTAAGGTCACAGTAGTAACACTGTGGGTGAATAAGTTGCTGTAATTTCATTTGCGCCTTTCTCCTCTTGCCCCCATTACCAACAGATATAATCTTTTTAAAAAGCCATCTTGACCCGCTTACATGCTTGACAGTATCAAGAATCGTTTTGTACTGTTTTGCATGTGTGCACTGATAAAACCCCTAACAAAGACCAAACAAAGATAATATTTTGTACAGGGCTTTAGAAATGTGCAGGGGCACATGTGCGTGTATCAGCAGAACAGTGCACAAAGTAGCTCACAAAAAGAAAACAGAACATAAAAAAATATTTCTCGAATGTTCAGTAAAAGAGCACACAGAAATAATCTTGATACAATTTTTTAAAAAGAACCTTGATACGTTCACATCAAGTTTGTCTTTTTTTGCTGTATTTTAACAATTGCTGTTTGTACATTGAAAAAAGAGAGAGAGAGTTGCACATGAACTGAAGGAACTGAAATCAAACCATACATGTTGTTAAGAATTGGGAGAAACCTGTTATACTAGCACAAAAACTGCCCTTTGTATTGAGGTTCACCTTGCCCCCGGAATTTTGATAATCTGCAATCACAGGATGATAATAGCCTGAAGAAATCTCCAGATATCTGACTATTTGGAACATGCTGCAACAACAGGGACAGCTTTCCTATTAAGGCCAGCTTTAGAAATAATAAATCAGTATGAAGCTTTGGATCTACTTCCTCAGAACTCAACAGGACAATAAATATGGAAGCTTGGCTGCCCAAGAATGCCAGCTTTTGACTTGGGATGGGAGTGGAATTGGTTCCATTTGACATTTCAGTGCTAAAACATCTTACTTTGGTGATGCCGAGGATCTTTTGCGTGTAAAACGTATTCTCTGCCAATCAAATATGATCTTTCTCCTAAATAAAAATCTTACTCATTCTTACTCAAAACCCCTGATGAATTCTATCCAGGTAGAGCTGAGCCATTTGTTATCCTTTTTCCTTCCTGTATACAGGTTAATTTAGTTTGCTGGGGAAATCAAGAGTCGTGTCCTGCCTTACAGGCAGACAATCAATTTATTGAGAAATGGAGCATTTTTATAATGTACTGGAATAAATATGTCGCTCATCTACATATCTTGCTGTGAGGTTCCATAAGGTAAAGGTAAAGGGACCCCTGACCATTAGGTCCAGTCGTGACCGACTCTGGGGTTACGGTGCTCATCTCGCTTTATTGGCCGGGGGAGCCAGCGTACAGCTTCCAGGTCATGTGGCCAGCATGACTAAGCCGCTTCTGGCAAACCAGAGCAATGCACAGGAACGCCATTTACCTTCCCGCCAGAGCGGTACCTATTTATCTACTTGCACTTTGACGTGCTTTCAAACTGCTAGGTTGGCAGGAACTGGGACCGAGCAACGGGAACTCACCCCGTTGTGGGGATTCGAACCGCCGATCTTCTGATCAGCAAGTCCTAGACTCTGTAGTTTAACCCACAGTGCCACCCTGTGTCCCTGTGAGGTTCCATAGGAGAATACTAAATCTATAAAGCCCCTTAGCAGCTACAGTGGTACCTCTAGTTGTGGACTTAAGCAGTTTCGAGGTGCTGTTCGTATCCCAAAAGGTCCGCAACTAGAGCGCCTCTTTAGTGCATGTGCACAGCACGACTGAGCGCTTCTGCGCGTGCACAGGTGACGAACCTGGAAGTAAACACTTCCGGGTTTGCTGCATTCGTAAGCTGAAAGTCCGTAAGAGCACAAAGCAACATGAGATATGACTGTATAGCAATACTAAGCTGTTTTGATTTATTGTTGAAAATAGTATAATAGTGTTGATGGTACATGCATTCAGAGTTTCTGTGCCTTTAGGATGCTAATCTGAAATTTTAAAATTCAAACCCAAATAGAATGTGATTTCTCGCCTGCCAGATGGGGTCCCCTCCAAAGAAAACCAAACTAACATGGAGACAAAGAGTGGGGAAAGCTGAATCAGCTCTGAATGGAGATTTGAACATGGCTCTCTTAGGTCCTAGTCCAACACTCTAACCACTACATTACCCTGGCTTTCTGAACCTGCAGATATGTGCAGTTCTTGTTTTTTAAAAAGCCCTCTAGCCTGGACTCTGACTCCTATCATTCCTGAACTTTGGCCATGCTGGCTGGGGTTGATGGGAGTTGGAGCCCAACAACATTTGGAGGAGGAGACCAGATTATGGAAGATTGCCCTAGCAGAATGCCATAGCAATGGAAGCCTTCTACCTTCTTTTCAGCTGAACTGCTCCTTAGCACAACTCCATATGCGATGCGATGCTTCTGTGACCAATGTTACAGTGGGAAATGTTACCATTTATCCCAGCAAGAGCTGTTTTCCAAGCCCTCAGTGTAATATTTACCATAATTTATCAGCATGGAGAAGACAGCTTTCTAACATCTCCAAAGGGCATTGTTAGCCAGCTCAACATTTCCCAGTCAGCACCAGTTTTGTTCCCAGTGGAGAAAATTCACTCACTGAATCTTTTTGGTTAATTAAGAAAGTTCAGGGAATTAGTTTTCAGGGGAGTAGTGGGGTGAGTTGTCAACTCTTTTGCATTCTCTGTTAACAGTTTGAATGCCAGAGCACATGAAATCCAGGAAAAGTTACATATGAATTAATTGCTCACATGACTCAACACTCCTACATACACTAACCATTTTCCCACCCTCAGAGTGAGTTAGAGGTTGGAGGTTAGTGTTCTAGCCTGCTTTTCCACGCAGACACCTAGTTTTCCATGTGCAGGAAATATTTTATACCTGGTTTTCTTAAAAAGCAGGTTTTCCAACTGCACAAATTCCCCAGGACACTAAAAAGGGGGGAAACCCCCAAATGAGCATAAAGTTTGCTTTGCTCCTTGCTTACACTCTGTATCTTTGCTATCTTACACTCTTGGTTAGTGATTACAGAGATAAAAATCAACCAGATCCCCCTCTTGCCCCCTCCCCCTGCAAAAGAGGAACAATACCGTACCATTTAACCACAGAAGGACTGAGCTCGCTGTGTAAAAGACTTCAGGGGTGCTGCAGTTTGTTTGTTTACTTGTGCAAATGGTACCATCAGCACATCAAAACACTTCCTGGGGAGTAGGGTTGAAAGGCAAGGCCCAAAGCTGAACAGTAGCTCCAGTAGACAATTCAACTTCAAGCAGAAACAATAACCACCAAATGAACATGGGCAGTATGGCATGCCCACTCCCACTTTGCTAAGATATGTGGCCATCAAACTAAAGAAAAACACTGTTATCATGGTGGGGGTGGGGGTGGGGGCACATGCACTTGTGTGGTCAGTTAGGAGCAGTGGGGAAGCACCACAATGCCACTCTCAGCTCTCCCACCTTCTCCCACACCACCAGTAACCCGTGGATGGCGGCACTGGTGTTGGAAAGCTAGGACTGCAGCTCTGCAAACTGGCAAGCAGTTTGGGCTATGTGGTCAGGTGAATCTATATGATGCCTAGTTCACAAACAGTGTTCGGTGTCTAAAATGATATGTAGAAAGGCAGAATTGAAGCAGCTGGCCACAGCAGGAAACTGACTACAAACCCATGAACAACAAATTGTTATACAGTCAAACCTCTTCTTAAATCCGCCTCTGCTAGCATCCATTTCGCCCAACGTTCCTGGCAAACCCGGAAGTAACTGGTGGGTTTGCCGCCGTTCGCGCATGCGCAGGAGTGGCAATTGCCGTTTGCACATGCGCAAAAGTAGGCAATCGTTGCCCGCACCCGCACACAGCAGCGCCTCTCCCAGTGACCCATTTCGACTTCCGGATGGGCCTACGGAACGGACTGTGGTTGTGAGTAAAGGTTCCACTGATAATTATTGTGTTTTCACATGCAGGGAAAGGTCCTTGTTGGGTTTCTATCAGAGGTGTCAAAAAACCTTGGTCAGCCTTGGGTACTGTGCATCCTGACCTTGTGGGGTGTGTGTGTGGGGGGTATCATTTGCTGTTCTACCTAGAGCAACAAAACGTGTTGAGGTGGCCCTGACTACAGCACAAGTCAGTTTCACGCTCATATACTTTCTCAAATGCATGCAGTGTTTGTTCTTGATGGATTTTCTCACTTTAGGGGTGCCATATTTCCGGAATTTCCCAAAAATATCTGAAATATGGCAGTCGGCAGCAGTGTGCAGTTGGAAACCAGGAAAATGTCTGGGGAAATTCGGACGTATGGCAACCCATGTTGGCAGCACCATTTCCCCATAAAAATAGCTCAAAACCAGCAATTTTGTAAGCGATTTCCCCCCAAAAGCTCAAAAACATTGCCAAAAAAGCTCAACAACTTTTCACTGTTTGAAATACAGTGAACCTATCTACCTATCTACTACCCTATCTGATAGTACTTCTTATCACTTCTTTGACCATGAAGGTTTTCCACAATGAACCACAGGATCTGTAGTCTTTGGAACCACAGGATCTGTAGTCTTTGGAAATTGTTTCCCCAAAAATTGTTTCTTTGGAAATTGTTTCCCCAAACTATAAACAAATGGAGAAGAGAGGTGCATACATATTTGTTGATTATTTTCTTCTTATTAGCTGCTCTCTGTTGTTAAGCTCTGGCCTCAGCACAATGATGTAGCATTTTGGGGTAAAAATGCAACCCAGTAAACCAGCACTGGAGCATAAGATGGAGAAGATCTCCACAGCCACCATGTATTTTCCTTTGGTGCTCAGGTAGGTTGGAACAAAGGACAACCAAACACTGCAAAACACCAACATGCTGAAAGTGATGAACTTAGCTTCATTGAAGCTGTCAGGTAACTTCCTGGCTAGGAAAGCCACAGTGAGGCTGACAACTGCAAGGAAGCCCATATAGCCCAGGACACAGTAAAACATGGAAGCTGATCCCTCATTACATTCTACTAAGATTGTCCCACTCAGTGAATGCATGTCTGTATCTGGAAATGGTGGAGAAGTACTTAACCAAATCATACAAATGCCAGCTTGAATAAAAGAGCCAGAAAAGAGAACTGAGTTTGTCAGCCTTTTCCCTACCCATTTCCTCATCCTGGCTCCTGGTTTGGTTGCCATGAATGCCAGAACCACAGTGATGGTCTTTGCCAACACTGAGGAAAGGGCCACAGAAAAGATTATGCCAAAAGCCATTTGCCGGAGAAGGCAGGTCACGTGTCCAGGCTGTCCAATGAAGAGCAAGGAGCAGAGGAAGCAAAGGAGGAGGGAGATAAGGAGGATGTAGGTGAGGGTTCGGTTGTTGGCTTTGACTATGGGAGTGTCCCTGTGCTTAATAAAAGTTCCAAGCACTAAAGATGTGGCCAAAGACAAAGAAGCAGCCAAGATAGCTAAGATGATCCCTAGTGTTTCTTCATAAGACAGGTAGCTTAGAACTTTGGGAATGCATTGATTTTGGTCAACATTTGGATGCTGATCTTCTGGACAATTTTCACAGACATCTACATCTGAAAACAGGAAGAGAAATATTTCAAGACTTTGTTTAACATCATCAAAATGAATAACTGAAGGAGCAGCTGCTATATGATGTATAACCAATACAAACTAGATGTAAATGTAAATTGTATGTCTTTGACAGAGCTGCTGCCTTCAAAATGTTGTGTTAATTTTTTTTAATAATAATATTTACAGAAAAAAATACATTATAAAGATGAATGTTATAATTTGAAGCATCTTTCATTAGCATTCTGATTTATTTAGCATAGATGATCTGCCTGGCTCTTTACAGAGCCCTGAGAGAAAGAAAGGTTTCTGCATTGACAAGTTTCCAGTATAAAATTCAAGATGGGGGAGTGGAATGTAGATGGCGGAAAGGGTAGGCGTGAAAAAATGTATAGTCAGCTGATAACACACATTTGGGGTTATTTTCACATTTAGCGTCAAAGGCACCAGATCCTGAAATAGATCACTCTCAGGATCCCAGGTGTTTCATGTACCCTTAAGTTCTAGATGCTGGTCCAGGACAAGGGTCTAAGTTTTCATTTTGATGCTATCTTCATTATCCCATTATGCAGCTACGGTCTCCACAGCGAATTAGTGGATTTCACTTATTATTGGTTCTGCATCCACCTTGAGTGCAAATTTTAGGCATAAGAGTCTGATCCAGATCAGGAAAGCAGAAGGAAGCAAAAGGTTAAAGTCCCAACAAGCCCACACCAGGGTTGCAATTTGTACTCCATCCCCAGACACACACCAGCAATTTGTGGAACAAAAAACTTGCACTCAAAGACAAGTTGTCTAATTAAGAATAGCCTTGAGACCACTCTAACAACCAGAATATTAGGTTAGGCCATTTTTGTTTTTAGCCAGTGTGCATTATTTCTCCTACCCTTCTGGCCAGAAATCATCCCTTCTGGACATGGAGCACAATCATAGCAGCAAAATTTCTCTCCCTCCTTCTCTTTCCTTCTGTAACCAGGATAGCAGTTGTCATTGCACACAGAAAGTGGCAGTACCTGTCCATAAACAAAATGGTAATTAGCATCAAGAAAACAAAGGAGGTGTTTGTTTCATTGTGATCTAAGAACCTCACTGCTTTAATTAGTCCAATGCCAACATTATTGAGTTAACGTATCTCACGTTTTTTTACTTCTTTTACAAACAAGTGAAGGAGCTATGGTTTCACAACTGATACTCAGCAGAAATCAAGCCTCAAGAAGACGACGGAATTGGCCCAAACTGAACTTTCTGCAATTATTCGGTAGATTCAAAACATTTGCAGCTGTGTCTTACGTGACCAAAGATCCTATGCCAGACAATCTGGTCATCGTTAATGATTAGTTCTTTGCCTGCAGGAGCTTGAGGTTCCAGTTGTCCAACTTTTACTCTAACAAAAGAGCTATTTGGGAAAGTCACCCAGTTTGTAACATCAAAACCAGCAACTAATTCTCTATTTTCATCAAACTGTATAGTGTCTTCAGCACTGTTGTTGAACAAAATGCTTCTCAAAAAGTGATTAATCTAGGATGAACAAGAAAATAAAGGAAGAACTTGTTGAAATCTTTACAGTGAAGTTTACATAAAGTCCTGGCTTAGCTAAACCTAAATTATTTTATTTTGCTAGAACAGTGGCTTGAGATGAAAGTATGAACAACAGCAAATATATATAAATATATATATGCAAATCATCTTTATTGGCTTCTTTTAATTTACATTCATAGAATTACATTATAACATGTCAGTTCTCCTATGGCTAAACATGTATTTCTAAATAATAATAAAGAAAACAAAAACAAAAACTTGTGCTTAATTGTTTGATTCATTCATATTCCTTTTATACTTGACTTTCCTCCCCTTCTTACTTGGGTCCTCAGTTTTCCTTATTTGAATGCCTCTCTTAACACGTCTGTGAGTTTGTTTTCCTGTTTTTCCACGATATTTTAGTATTTTTTCTTACAGAAGTTACTCTAAACCAGTCAAAATTTCAATTTTCCCATGATAATCTTTCAAATATTGTTTGAATATGTTCCAATCTTTTTAAAATTTTTGTTTTGTCTGATCTCTTATCTGCCCAGTCAACTTGCCCATCTCCGCGTATTCCATTAATTTGACCAACAAATCTTTTTTGGTCGGTAAACATTCCCTTTTCCAGTTCTGTGCAATCACAACTCTTGCTGCAGTGGTAGTGTACATGAATACTTTCTTTAAATCTTTTGGGATCTAATTTCCCACAATCCCCAATAGGAATGCTTCTGGTTTTTTTTTGGGGGGGGAATGAGATTTTAAACATCCTTTTTATTTCATTATAAATTAGATCCCAAAACTCCCTCATCTTTCTGCATGTACACCAAACGTAGTATGTTGTACCCACCGCTTAACTGCATTTCCAACATTTATCTGAGGGTTTTTTTTAATACATTAAGGCAAGTCTGCTTGGTGTTAGATACCATCTATAGAAAACCTTCATATAGTTTTCCTTAATTGTATTACAAGAACAACAGCAATTTGATCATTAAACTGACATTAGTTAAACACATTAACTTGGAAAATTTGTTAGCATGATTTTGGAGGATTTATTTTGTGCAGAGCTTGAGATCAGAGTTCCGTCCTTGTCTAGATAATATTCTACCCTACTTCTTTTTAAAGTAGAAATGTGTGTTCAGTTACCTCCCATGGCTGTACCTTCTGAAACATCAGCCTCTGTCCTCTTTTTAAGCTCCCGTTTTTGGATCTGGATACATATGTGGCATGCAATGCATGTGCCACAGCATAGACAGAATTGTAGACATTGTAGCTATGGCCAATCATGTTCATTTCAAACAAAACTGCAGGGATGCTCTCCAGCTTCTCTTCCTCAGTGCAGGCTTGACTGTACTCATCAGAATGTTTCAAGCTACAGCCAAATGCTTGCTCCCAGAAATCATGGATGAACCCATCTTCTTTAGACCAGGAAGGTCTTACAATTTGAAGAAATGTTTGGAATCCTGGTGGCTCATTGGAGTGAACTGTGAAGGATAAAGCACCATGGAAGGGGGTTGTATCCCAAATCCTTTGAGCGGATAAAGAAGCAAATTCCCACTGAGATGTAACAACCCATACTTTACCCAGAGGTGGCAAGTCAGACATTTCTGCTGTAAACAACAGCATTCTCAAAACTTGCATAGCTGGAGGTTCTCCATATACGAGACAGACATTGACTTTCCTGTCCGTGAGGACTGGATATTGATCTAGCAGAGTTACCAATGACTCTAACATTTCTTGCATGTAAGTTCGCTCTGGAGTTCTTAATATGAAAGCATAGCAGATGCCGTTCTGGGAAAGCATGGGCACCACTGTCTGCAAAAAGTTTTCTCCATTGTCATCATCCACAGCAACGAGTCCAATCCAGGTCCATGCAAAATGCTTAAGTAAGCGGGCAATCCCTCTGTACTGGTAGGCTTCATTTGGGACCATCTGGTTCAAGAAAGGGAATAGTGTTTTGTCACCTTGGACTGGAGAAAATGATCCATAAGTTAGCTGAAAGAAATAGGTTAGAATCTTTCAGTTGCGTTCCAAGAACATGTTTCCTTATTCGTTTTCAATCATCTATGCTCTGCTCTGCTACATAAAAGATAAAAACTGGCTTCTTTTTTAAAATGAAGGCTTGTTTATTTAAAGTACTTTCAGGGAAAAGCCCTCCCAACACATTTTATAAAAGATAAAACTGCAAAAATCCAGTTTGTATCAGGAGCCGTAAATCACATGAAGGAAGTGAACTCTTTATTATGAGAAAAAACAGGATCTGCACAGCAGTGTCAGGCCTCATGAGCACAGCTACACTTCTTGGGTAGGTCTTGCCCCTGTGAGACCTTCAGTCATGGAGAATGAAGGTCCCCGCCTTCCCAACACAGCTGCCTTTGCTTTTTATGTGTCTTGAAGAATACAAAATTCAGCCATTCAGGTCAGAATCTACAACTACAGATTGATAATTTTCTATTCCTTGAAGATCAACCTTGCATTTTGAGGGTTACATTCCCTTTAACCACCAGCTAGGACCTCTGCTTTGGGAAGCCATTCCAGAGCTTTGATGCCATAAGAGAAAAGGAGCTTTGCCTCAGGTCCATCTGCCGCTCATCCTGCAATGAGGAGGCCTGAAACAGAATCTCCAGTGTTGAATGCATTGTTCAAACAGGTCCATGGAAGAAGGTGGTCCTTAAGGCTTCATGTAAATTTGTAAAATCCCGGGAGATAAAACTGATCCTTGTAACACCCATAGGCCCATGGCCAAAGGGTGGAAGAGTGGTTTCCCAGCACCACCTTCTGTGACTGCTGTACCAGAAAAAAACTGAGAGATCCAGGAGATCAGATAAGTTCTCATTCCCCTCTGTCATAATTCTGGTGTAGAACATCTACCAGAGTGACCAGGGTCATTTCAGTCACAATTCCAGGGAAATGAATAAACACCTTAATAATTAATTTTATCATTGGATGATTGGATTATGTGCCACAGATGAGAAATATCCATAGCCTTTGCATATGGCCTACCTGTGGAGTCTTATAGGTGGTATAGATGGTGGCCATATTGGCAGTGGTTTCAGAAACAAGCCCTCCAATGGCAGCAATTAAATGGCTCTGCGTATCACACTTGAAGTTGGGAACAAACCTATGTGGTGTGGAAAGCAGGCTGAGGGTGGCTTTAAAAGTTGTCTTTGCAACGTAGTAGCTGTTGAGGACATGGAAGCCCAAAGTGACATTTGGTAGGAGGCTGGGATTCTCATTGATCTCTTTTATGGCAAATGCCAAGGCCAAGATGTGCTGGTATTTCTTTGGCACTGAACTGCAATGAGAATTACTAGCAGTTTAGCCAAACAATGTTTAAAAATGTGCTTGAAGGCTTTTGCAGAACAGTAGAGTTGCGAACTTTTGATGTACCTGCTTTAACTGTGCTTTTAATAGCTTTTTTGTCCTGTGGCAGCTGGCAGCTAACAATGCCATGGAAATAGTTACTTACTGTTTTCTATCTGTTTGAGGGCACTAAACTTACTACAATAGCATGCTACACACCCACACCCACACCCACCACGTAATTTCACAACTCCTTTTTTAATGTTCTGAAATTAATGAATAAATGGAGGAGACAGAGTTAGAGAAAGGAGTTGAGAGACCCTGCAAATAATTTAACTCAGCCTACTGCCCACTGCACATAAGATATTTGATTACAGTATCAGACAGCCTTTATCGTTAGGAGGTTTCGACTAGTATTCAGCCAAAAGTTTACTTCTCTACAAATTTGAGCCTGCCCTTTGAGCTACAGGGAATGAAAGCCTTTCAGATACTTGAAGTCAGCTGTCATGCTTCCCTATAATCTTCTCTTCTTCTGGCCAGAGGTGCTAACTTCAATAAGATATGAGCGGGGTGGGGTGGGGAGACAGGTAATTGATCACATGCAAACCATTTGAATTTTTCAATTATTTTTTCCCCAATTATTTTTGTGTTTGTTCCTATGCTTCAGGCTAAAAATACCCAGCTCTTTCAAGTGTTCCCAGCAAAACGGATGCTGGTTAGGAAAGGTCAGGGAGGCCTGTGTGGCTCAGAGCGGAGAGGAGGTGAGGCAAGAGAGAGGGATGGGGGGGGCAGTGTTCCAGGGAATGTGTGGATAGGCAGGTCTCTAGTGGTGATACAGTGTTTTGTTTTACTATAAGGCTATGCAATAACCTCTCACCATCCTGTTTGCCCTCCTCCGGACACACTCCATTTCGTCAGTGTTCTTAAAGTGCAAGAATGGTGCATCAAAGAGTAATTAAAGACAGGCTTTTCTGCCCCTTAAAAATCAGCCCCTTAAAAGTGCACAGGGTCTGTAAGAGAAATTCTTCATAAAATGTGCCAGATGGTACAGGGAAAAAGCAGGACAAATAAAATAAAATGACAGAACAAACTAAATGTCCCCTGGAACACTACTTTTCACCCTGAAGACTAGACCAAGTGTTTCTCAAGTACCATAGTGCTTAAATGATTTTCTGCTCTCAGATATCATGAGCGGAACATTTTTACAGAAGGAAAATGAAGGGAGAAAGTATTTCCTTACACCGGTTTGTCAATCATAATCTGTCCTGGCTGTTCCTTGAAAGAGAGAGTCTCATAAAAGAAGAAGATGTGAGCAGCAATGTCACCGATTACAAGGTCTCCTGGGTGATAAAATTCATGAGGAATAGGGATTGGGTCGGTGTATATGCTGCAATTAATAGAATGTGCATTGTATATACTATGGCACAACAGAAAAAGCAGCAACATGAGTAGCAGCGCCCTCTGGAAGGCAAAACATCCCCTCCATATGTGAAGCCCCATGTTTCCATCTAGGAAATATTATCTGTCCTGCATCAGTTTTGTCAGGTTATAGAAGGAAAGACTGGCCAGTTAAGAGTCTCTTCTGCCTGCTCTTCTGCCTGCCTTTGTTTCCATTTTGTTACCTCTTGTCAGACAATGCCTCAACACAGCAAATTCTCTTCACCTTTTCACATTTTCCACTCAGGATGACTGGATGTTTAGGCCCAGTGCAGGTGCCTTTTGAAACAATTCTCACTGATAGCTTTGCACCTACAGATGTAATCAAATGTGCTTGAGTCACAGGTATGTATTTCTGCGTTATAGACCACGGGGGTATCAACTTGAAAAAAATCAAGCCTAAAATATAAAGGGGAAAGGACCACACAAAACGCTGTCTACTCCTGGATTTGGTTCTAAACAACAGGCTTTTTTTTAAAATAGCATCCTTTAGGTGTGGATAATGTTGGCCTTGCGAATAATTTACTGACATCAGGTGGTCAACACGAGAACAGTAATTTTGACAATGATAGGGTACCTAATCAAATCTCCAGAGTTCTGGCCTTTGCGGTAGGATTCCTTCTCCACCTTCTGAAATTTTCTTCATTCAAATAGCATTTGGCTTGTCAGGTACAGGCTGCCACTGGTCAATTCAAGGGACAATATTGACCAGAAGAAGACTGTACCTGACAGGCCCAATGCTATTTGGGCAGCCCAGGTTGACTGGGGCTGATGGGAATTGCAGTCACCTGGAGGGCCACAGGTAGGAGAGCCAACTTGGGCCCCAGGTTATGGGTGGCCAGTGGGTGTGACATCACATTACGACATGACGTCATGACATCACGCCTGCCCCCTGGCCTTGGAACCTGACTTCTGGTGCCACTGGAAGTCGGGTTCTGAGACCTTGCAAGACCTTGGAAGTTGGGGGGGGCCTGCAGTGTGGGTGCTGAGCATCCACAACAAAAAAATTGTGGGTGAAGCCCCTATAGTTGGCGCTCCTGGCCACAGGATCCCTCACCTCTGCTTTAGAGTAACACTGGGAAATATAAAAATGTCAATACAAACAACTTGGTGCTCCTTAGAACATTGCTGCCTGGGCTGAGGGAAAATGACTAAAGCATCCCAAAGCAGTGGCAAGGTAAGGTGGTGGAAGAATGAGTGGGAAAGGTGGAGTCAGTGTCATTCCCCTTCCTTAGGTGCCCCATTTGATAGATTTCCTCAATCCCCTGTTATACTCAAATGGGACAGCAATTCTTTAATAAACAAGTGCACGCAGGCCCAGCCCCCTGGCACTGACACTTGTTCCGGTATCTGAGTTTGCAAGCCACCATTTCAATGTCACATAATGTCCCTGCAGGTATATGTGAGCACTTGGCTGATGGTCCCCTCAAAGCTGGAACTGGCCTTGTATGCACATCTTGTTTGATCCCCTCCATTTTCTCCACACCAATAATTTCGTTGTCCCCGAGAGGGGGTAATGACAATAAAGATATTATTATTATTATTATTATTATTATTATTATTATTATTATTATTATTATTATTATTCAGCTCTGCCCTGATTGTTTCTATGGCTGCCATCTGTTACCAGCTGTGATGCTTGCCAGTGGATGTTATTAAACAAAGTGTGTGAGAGGCAGCAATGTGCCCAAGGAACCAAAGAGTTGCTGGACTACCACTCTCTTCATTCCTGAACATGTTGGCTGGGGCTAATGCAAGTCATAGTCAGGCAACATCTGGTCAGCCACAGTTTAGCTACTTCCACTGTAAGTTTCTAGGGGAAAAAATTTAGATCTCTACCTTGCCCTCCAATTCCCCCCCCCCCAGGATAGAAATCAACAAAGGAAACAGAAGGAGGAGGAACGGGTAAGCATAAGGGCTTAAGTGATAGTGGCAATCTGTCCATCTCAGTGACCGTTTTAAAATCACTACCCTCTATGCACCCCATGAGATGATGCGCTGATATGTTAACAGATTTGGAGGTGTTACCAGAGGCATGAGTATGTGTGTGTGTGTTAGAGAGAGAGAGAGAGAGAGAGAGAGCATTCAATACATGCAAACATAGCAATCCTGTGTTGTGTTGTGGGATAAGGTAGACCCCGGAAAATCAGTGTTAAAATCGCCACTCAAGAGAAATAACAAAGTCATGGACCAATAAATGACAAGAATAAATTTGTGATAAGGTACATGTAAAATGGAGGACTTAATATAATGCAGGCATCCCCAACCTTTGGCCCTCATATGTTTTGGACTACAATTCCCATCATCCCTGACCACTGGTCCTGTTAGCTAGGGATCATGGGAGTTGTATGTCAAAACATCTGGAGGGCCAAAGGTTGGGGATGCCTGATCTAATGCAATACAATTATATATGCCAACCAATGCATGATTTGTTTGTTTTTAAAAGTTCACTGACTGAGAAAGAAAACATGCAGGCAATATTCTACATCAAAGTGTGACACAGCCTAAGGTGTTTAACTTGACCCGGTGGAGATATGATTAAGAATTACAAGTGTCAGAAATATATCCCATAAGCATGCACAGAGTGCACCTGCCTCCCCTATGTTTGTATTTAACAAGGTGATTCCACAACAGTAACGTCCGCCTGAAATGTAAACTTTTTATCGCCAGTGAACCACATGATACGTGGAAACACTGCAATTCTTATACCAAAATGCCAAGGGAGAAAACCTTTTAATTACTATTAAGGATACCACATTGCGTTCCCTTCGCTTCTACAAAAAATGGGGTACTTAGTGTGTCTGCAGTGCACCTAGATTGTGGCAGTCTTTGCCTATTAATGTTAAGCAGGCACCATCAGTAGTTTGTTTCAAAAGCCTATTTAAGACAATTCTGTTTATATAGCTCAACCACCAGTTATTGTGTATCAGTGTCAAGAAGTTTACTAAGCATTCTGATGCTGGTTTATGGCTGTGATTCTTACCACCGAGATACTTTGTTTATTGTGCAGTGTATAAGCCTATATAAATAAATAAATCAGCAGATTTTTGATTATTCCATTTCCAAATTGATTGTGCCCCACCCCAATAAGGTGGGAGTTCATGAGTTTATACACTACGTTTTATTCCAATGTGACATGTCATATAACTTACCCTCTTCTGACTAGTTTGCCAGAGTGTCTGGATGAAAGACTGACAATGTATTGTTTATCAGGTCCAACAGATCACCAAACAGGTGACTTAACCTTTCCTAACTGGCATGCCCATATGAAGCTGACTATCTTAGTTAAATTGGAGAAATTGCATATTTTGTATACAGCTATTTGCTTTATGTATTTTGACTTGAATTTTGACCTATTATGGTCTTATGACCATAATAAAGGTATTGATTGATGGACTGGCTAATTGAAAGAAATGAAAAAACGGACAAGCACATGGTCAGAGACCACTGAGATAATATACAATGTCCCCATGTCATGAGGAAGTGGCTTTATCAGCACACATGCTCTACCTATCTTGTACTCTTCCTAACGGCTCTAACTTGTGTCATATGAGCTGTGCTGTGGCTTTATAGCACCATGAAGCTACATTTGGAAGGCAAAGAGGGAAGATCCTCATTTGTCACAATACTGTCTCTTCAGTTTGGGTCAGGATTTCCAGATAGGTGAAAGCCTCAAAGATATCCACTGCTCCAGTCAACTTACATTATCTGACACAGTTCTTGTACAACTGTGGACATACTGTGGAGCATCAGGATGGAGAACCCACAGCATGTTACATTTCTGCTAGTTGCTTTCATTGTGTCATCTGCTCAAGGGACTGCCGAGGTAAGTCCTATGTCCTTCCCTGCTTTGTGTGGCTATTGATGAACAAAGAATGACTAATTAGAGGAGCTGCAGAGAACCTTTGGCCCCTCATATGTTGCTGAACTACAACTCCCATCATTCCTGGCTACAGGCCATATTTGCTTGGACTGATGGGAGTTGTAGTTCAGCAGCATCTGGAGGGCCAAAGATCTCCCACTCCTGAATTAGAGAAAGCTAGCCTTTCTCTAACCCAAGGGTTGCCCCAAGTTTGGAAGGAATCTACTGTGGTAAATCTTGGCAGTGCTAAGGAGATGGCTATGGGCACTTAGGCCTTGCAAGAAGGTCCATGGGTTCAGCAAAAGTTCCCTATATCTTGCCATTGGATTAATATGTGATCAAATGATTGCTCTTCCAGAGTCTTATTCTGTTTTACTCACAACTGATTCTTAAAGATGGTCAAATTGAGAGACAAACAGAATTTAGAAAGAGAATGGAGTATGCAGTTGTGAGCTGTCTCAGGTTATATGTCCCACGCCTCTTTCTTTCTTTTTTGCATTATATGACTACTGACCAAACTAAGACAATAGCCTTTGTTTTGTTTTTTTGAAGCTGTCTGGGTGGTGTTGTTAGGAATGAGCAGGCTGTCTAACGGGACTTTTTCCAAGTCAAATACTCACCACCCATGCTGCTGTCATGCCCCCACTTTTCTCAGAGAAGGGAGATATAGGAGTTGATAGTGGAGGGTGGATGAGAAGATGAGAAGTCTAACCTCAGCTGTACCTGGTGTGTCACACGTCATTTTCTAATGGAATACACATCACAGTGCTGGATTACAAGCCCCTGATTCTTGTCAGGAAATTACATGCAGGGCACATAATTTGGAAAAACAGAGCAGCAGCAAGGTATCTCCTTGACTGCACATTATTTATTTGTTTAAAGCATTTGTATAGCTCCTTTAATCTGAAGATGTCCAGGTGAAGTACACAACTTCAGTAAATTAATCAAATCACATCTATAAAACCCATGAAAATATATGGCCAAAGTATATCACAGGTGAACCTCAACAGCAATCACAAAAAACCATGCTCCAAGCTGGTGTTTATCGGAAGACAATGTAGACACCAGCTGGATTTCAAGGGGCAGGGAGTTCCAAAGCTGAGGCAACACCACAGAGACCCGTCAATGTGTCTCCAAATATAATCTACAGTTCCTAAACATGATATGCATGCAAGACCTCTCCTTGGCTGTGTGTGATGTGTGATGTGCATTATTACCTTCCAGGGATCATGGGGCTTTGAATAATGCTGCATCCCATGAAGTAATGATATACAGAGCATGTAAATTACAAACAAGGAGAGGCTCAGGCTCCTGCTCTCCTCTGCATATTACCCTTTCCAAAGCCCATTTTGGGTTGGACCAGTCTCCTGCTCCTGATTCAAATGAGGCCAGCCTGTTTGAACATTTTAAGCTCATCCATTCTCTGCTTGAGGTGAGGCCATGTGGTGGAGGTGATTCACCATTCAGCCAACAATGCATAGGATGCAGCCTCTTGTCTGCATAATGGATTGGGAGCCTTGTGTTGTGAACAGCAAACTGTCATACATGTTTTCTGAGACGCCATATGACTCACATGATGCAATTATCAATTTGCTCCAGGCTGGCTCCAGTGAAATGTCAACAAATAGATCCCAACCGATATTGAACATGGCACATTACTCCCTCGATGACAAGTATGAAGGCTGCCTGGAGAGCATGCAGAGCATCCTGACGTCTCTCATTCTAAGTGAGCTGAATATGTCTAAGATCTATAAGGAAGCATGGGAGGAAGGACTGTTTAATTGGCAGGAGAACCAGTCCAAGTTATACCCCAAGAATATGGAAGAGCTCTCTGAAGTGGCTATCTGGGCATACACTGGAGCATACCCTTCACTCTACAGGAAGTTCAATGCTGCCACCCGCACAGCAGGAAAAGGGCCTGAGGAATATGAGGCCTACCCTTTCAAGTCCCTGCATTTCCTCTTAACCCAGGCAACCCTGTCATTCAAACGAAAGGACCACAAATGTGTTAAGGTCTACAGGGGCACTGGTGTGAAGTTTTCCATCAATGACCTCTTCAGGTTTGGGCAGTTCACTTCCACATCAGAGAACTCGATTGTGGCCGAAGTGTTTCAGACTGTAACCTTTTTCAAATTGTTCACCTGCGAGGGGATTGATATAAGTGAGATGTCACTTTTCAAAGAACAGGAGGTGTTGGTCCCTCCCTATGAGATTTTCAAGGTCACGTCAGTTGAAGACACCCCAGATGGCCAGACCGTAGATGCCAAGTCAGTGGGGACTTGCAGCTACCACAACTGTGCTTTTGAGGGGAAAGGTAACCAAATGGAAGTTACTGGGCTTTTCATTTTGTGGGGCACCAGTTCTAATTCCCCTCCCCTCCCTGTCTGGGTTGGGTTTGACGTAGTTGGGTGGGTGGGCAGAAGTAAATCTCATGAAGCAATTGGATGTGTGATTTTTTTCTTCATCCAATACCATCCTAAATGGATGAGGGGAAAACATGTTTTCTTTTCTGTATAGGGTGTATAATCAGTTCTAAAATCCTCCTCCCACTATGAACTAGACCAGAGGTTCCCACTTTTTTGGCCTACTACCCACTTTTCAGAAATTGTTTTACTAGTGGCCTCTGGAAATCTACCTTCTTTAAGCATTTAAAAGCCCATGGGGTGGGGCTGGTGTCACAGACCACCTGCCATTGGTCCAATAGGCAGGCAAGCCGTGATCTACATCCTGGGCCTGGATATGGCCAAAAAGGGTTCACCCAAACCTCTCACCTCCAGCACGACCGCCAGATTCAGGGGAGGTGTTGACCTGGTGGTTGGCATCAGGTAGGCAACAGATGAAACATGTAAGAACAGTTTTTCAAAATTTTCTTATCTTCTTTCTTTATCCTTCCACAGCTCCCTTATTTTTATTCACCAGCCTGAGGCTACTACCACCCCCACTGGATTGTTCTAGCACCCCTCAAGGGGCGGTATCACCCACTTTAGGAAACACTGAACTAGACAAATTGGAGAGACAGATATACAGAATCTTGCCCCTTCTAAGGTTCTCAGACTATAAGATGGGAATTGGGAGAATGGTTGTTTAAAGGGGGGTAAATACTTCTCTCTCTCTATTCTATAGGTTGGGATAACAACCAAGCCTGTCCTGGACATCAAGGTATGTGACAGCCTGAGATGGAATTAAAACTTGGTGTTGGTGGTGGAGGGGATGACTAAAATGGATCTATATGGAGTGGTTTTTGGAATCCCTAGATTCCTTAGCACAGGAAAGGTTAGCCTGCAAAAGAAGATAGTTAAAGGTGGGGGCCTTGGGGCCACATTCCTCCTGGGAAACCTTCTAGAGGCCGCATGCCAGTGATGGGAGGGTTCAAGAACGTAAGTGGGCCGTGCTGCAATGGATGAGACTCTTACTTTTGTTCACTTGGCTCCATTCCAACCATGCAAAAAAACCTGAGGTTTCTACACCCATAACCACACTTCTTGATCCTCCATCAGGCAAGCAAGAGGTACCAGCAGTACAGTTCAAGTACACATTCCAGGAAGACAAAAGCATTCATGAGCAGGGCTGGTGAGGAATGTGGCCCAGGGATGACTGGATAAAGAGATCCACAGAGTCACATTTGGCACGAGGGCCTCAGCTACAGTTCCTAGCATTCCCTGGGAAGAGAGATTAAACCTCTCTGGGAATTGTAGCTCTGGACAGGGGATGGAAGTGTCCTGACAACTATCAGCACCCCTAACAAACTACGCTTCACAAATTCCTTGGGGGAAGCCACAACTGTTCAAAATGGTATCACGGTGCTTAAGAATGTATGGTGTGAATGTGGCTTGTATCTCAACCCATGTTGTTCTTTTGTTAGAGGGATATGCCACGTTTCTCAAGAGAAGATTGCATTCTTCTTGTGTACTTGTGGAAATGCATCTCCACACTTTGCAATTCTAGAATCACAGAACTGTAGAGTTGGCTCCAAGGGTCATCTAGTCCAACTCCCTGCAATGCAGGAATCTCAACTAAAGCATCCATGGCAGATGACCATGTAACCTCTGCTTAGAAACCTTCAAGGAAGAAGGGCCTGCAAACTCCCAGCTTTTACTGTTTGACTCCTCTGAATCTTATGTTTATGACAAACACCACATTTCACAGTAGCTAGAGTTTTTTATTTGTTTTTCAAGGAAGGGTAAAGAATAACAGCAATAGTCTCCATTATCAAACTCACCATAAAAAACTCATGAAGCCATTGTTTCAGGCAGCAGTCTCCAATGTTCCTTCTCCCTGCAGACTCTCTGCCATCAGATAGAGCGGAAGGAGGAGAGAAATAGTTTACAATAGTCCACACTTCATTGCTGAAGTCACTTACAGGCAGGTTAACAACATATTCCTGTGCATTTTGCCCATTGCTTCCCTCAGGGCATTCCTCCATCATCAGGTTTTCTAATGCTCAATAAGTGCACCTTTATTTTCCACATTTGTTGCACACAATTCCCCCCTTTCTAAACATGTAGAATAGCTCTTGTCATGGAGCAAGAGCTACATTATTTTAGTTTGTAGGTGGACTAGCCACATTCTCTGCTAACCCTAAAGCTTTGCAATGTGAGGCTGAAACCACATCAGGGTGTGCCCTACTAACTTCTGAATACACTTTCCGTCTTTTCCTCCACAGTGCTGTATTTGTGAGATCTCACCATCCCAGTGATGTCAGGTTGTGGCCTGCCAAGAATTACGCTTTGCAAAAATCTCTGTGGTTTTTCCACATTGTCTATGTCTATATTTGTAGATGCAGGGTCAAGAATCTGAAGGAATGCTGGCCCCAAATGTTCCACAGCAATTTTATTTTCCCTTTTACAGGTAGCAAAATGGAGGGGGGGGGAAAAAGGGATATTTCATCACTATTTGAGAACTGCAAAAAGAAGGGCAAAGGGAGTGGGGGATGTAGGCCTTATTTGTGGCAAGTGCTTTGTTTTTCTAGAAAAATAGGTGCCAGTACTCACCATGAAGTTGTTGCAGTAAGTGTTACACTTTTAAACAAAAACAAAAAAAGAGAGGTGGCGGTACTGCGTACACTAGAGTACCCCGCTTCGCGCTGCCCCCGGACCTCTTTTGAAGCAAGGGTTTGCGGGGAGAAGCGATCTCCCCGCAGCCCCTTGCTTCAAAAGAGGTCCGGGGGCAGCGGGAAGCGCAGCGCTTCTTCCCCGCTGCCCCCGGACCTCTTTTGAAGCAAGGGGCTGCGGGGAGATCGCTTCTCCCGGTGCTCCGAAGCGGGGCGGGGGGCGGGAACACCTGCCCCAGCCGCCCCGCTTCGGAACGCTGCTCCGAAGCGGGGCGGGGGGGCGGGAACACCTGCCCCAGCCGCCCCGCTTCGGAACGCTGCTCCGAAGCGGGGCGGGGGGGCGGGAACACCTGCCCCAGCCGCCCCGCTTCGGAACGCTGCTCCGAAGCGGGGCGGGGGGCGGGAACACCTGCCCCAGCCGCCCCGCTTCGGAACGCTGCTCCGAAGCGGGGCGGGGGGCGGGAACACCTGCCCCAGCCGCCCCGCGGGAACACCTGCCCCAGCCGCCCCGCTTCGGAGCGCTGCGAAAAATGCACTGCTTGTTGCAATGCCCCTCTGTATGGCTGGCAGCCATAATTTTTCCCTCTGCTCCCCCAACATTCTCTGGGAATGAAAATACATGACAATGACTTATGTTTTCCCGTTGGGCCATGTGGCAAGTGGTGGAAATGTTCTCTCTCCCTGACCCCAGTTTCAACCCAGATAATTTTTGGCTGAGCCTTAATCTAAAGACATGTGCATAAATATTGAAGACCACCTAAAGCAGATTAACAGCACAATCCTATATATACACATCCTCTCTATATATAGTATATCTGTTCCCATTGAGTTAAATGGGGCAAAGCGGGTATATAATTGTACACTGATTTTCTTCTTCTTTTCTTTTGCTTTGCATAATAATCTCCTGCACAGCTTGACTTTGGGGCTTCGATTTGTAAAACCACTTAATCTGACGTGTATGAAATAATTTTCTGAATTATCTGTCAGGGTTTTGATATAACCACATAATAAAAAGCACTTTTAAAGACAACTTAAACTGGTGTGATTTTTGGTCTCTGCAGTTTGAAAATGCCTGTTGCTGCTATGCCTCTTAAAGGAGTAAAAAGTGTGAGGAGAGTTTTCCTTTGGAGGGTTTGGGGGGCATAATTCATAATCCCTACTGTTATCTCACTGGGATTTTCAGGAGGCAGATGTTTGCCTATGTTACAATTGTGAAAAAAAATACCCGGGCAACAAATAAAATAGAGCATTCGAAACCCTACAGTCAGAGGTATTTAACTCCATTTGGTGGTGGAGTAGAAAACAAGCCTTTTGCCATTACTGAGGGAACAGACAGGTATACAGGGTAGGAAGGGAGAATTTTCCTCAATGAGATGTAGTAACTTGAGCTATCTCTCTGTTTGGAATTTTGCTTACTAAAAAGACCTACCTGGGTATACACAACCTGTCCCCTCTGCTTTTTGGGGTTTTTGTTTTTTTTAACCACAAACAGTATCGAGAGGCTTCAGAAGAAAGAATATTAGATTGCATGTGGATGAAACAGGGCTTCTTTTGGAATTGTCCCGAGGTATAGTTGGCCTTTCCAGGGGAAATGCAATGTAAGACCTTTATTTTTTAAAAAGTGTATTGTTACGCTCAGTGCTATTTTCTGAGTGTTGAGAAATTCCAGGGGCATGATGCTTACATTTGGTTCCTTTAGCAAAGGAGTCATTGGAGGCTTATTTGCATTTTGTAATTCTTATGTTAATTTACAAATATAACAGCTGAGCAACTCCAACAGCCAAATTCTAATACTACCTCCCACATCAGACAGCCTCCCAAATTTTGTTAGCTTAAAGGTAAAGGGACCCCTGACCATTAGGACCAGTCACGGATGACTCTGGGGTTGTGGTGCTCATCTCGCTTTATTGGCCGAGGGAGCCAGCATACAGCTTCCAGGTCATGCAGCCAGCATGGCTAAGCCACTTCTGGTGAACCAGAGCAGCGCATGGAAACGCTGTTTACCTTCTCACCAGAGCGGTACCTATTTATCTACTTGCACTTTTACATGCTTTCGAAACTGCTAGGTTAGCAGGAGCAGGGACTGAGCAAGGGGAGCTCACTCCATCGCGGGGATTCGAACCGCCGATATTCTGATCGACAAGCCCTAGGCTCTGTGGTTTAACCCACAGCACCACCCATGTTAGCTTACAGTACCCTAATTCAGTTCTCCTTAGCCATTGTGTCAAAACTGCAGTCTCCCTTCACATAGACATCTCACCATTCTTAGGTATTTCAGGTATTTATTGGCCAGTCAAAAAAGAAAAAAAAGGAAAATGCTCTAACAATCCGTTCCTATGGAAACACAATGCCACACTTATAAGGAATAGATATTTTTATTGTGCCAGCCCTGCACCTGTATTTTGGAACCCCCTGCTTATTGACATTAGGCTTTTGCTGTATTTTTTTCAGCGCCTGCTTAAAACAGGTTTGTTTAGGCAAGCCTATCCACATGTAGAAGTCACATGCAAACTGGAACACCTAAATAATTGTACACCAGTACAAATGACAAGTATATTGTAACTATGTGCAATAAATGTAGAATGTTTATCAAGGCAAGGACATCTCTTTTGTCCGGGGCCTAACTGCCCTCACACAGAAGTAAAAAAAGAAAGAAAGGGAAAATTCTTATGTATTGAGCTCCATGGGTGAAGAAGGGCGGAACACTAATATATTAATATAATAAATAGATACATGGCGAGACTGAGTCAAGATATGATTAATAAACTATATGGTGAAAGAGGATTGCTGATGTATTATAGATGGGAGGGAAGTTTGGAGGCTGTGAGAATGAAGCAATATATTTATTTATTTAGAAAACTATTTAAATATCACCAGTTGATAAATACAGTAGTACCTCGGGTTAAGTACTTAATTCGTTCCAGAGGTCCGTTCTTAACCTGAAACTGTTCTTAATCTGAGGTACCACTTTAGCTAATGGGGCCTCCCGCTGCCGCCGTCATGCGATTTCTGATCTCATCCTGAAGCAAAGTTCTTAACCGGAGGTACTATTTCTGGGTTAGTGGAGTCTGTAATCTGAAGCGTCTGTAACCTGAAGCATCTGTAACCCGAGGTACCACTGTATATCATGGTAGTGGGCAACAATATATACAATAAAATGGGAAACATCATAAAATGCTAAAAAAGACCATTAAAATGAGTAGCTTTTATATCTATCATCTATCTATCTATCTATCATCTATCTATCTATCTATATCTATCTATCTATCTATATCTATCTATCTATCTATCTATCTATCTATCTATCTATCTATCTATCTATCATCTATCTATCTATATCTCACGTTACATAAACCTGTCTATATTAAAAGGTCTTGGAGAGATGCCTGAGAATGAAAAGCAAGGGTGGTTGCTGAATCTCCACAGCACAGGACTGGTGACATTCAATGCCCCACTTCTAGTGGAGATCTGTTTGGTCTCTGTAACGTGGGAACAGCAAGTGGCACTGAAAAGTAGGCTAGGTTGCGAGAAAGACAGAGAGGGAGCAAGAGAGAACAAGAGAGCGCATATGATTTCATAGGAAATGTAGTATATTTGACAATTATGACCATAACTAGCTGTATGCAGTCTGCTGTGCTGTTGTATTAAGCAGAGGCGGGGGTGGGAAATCTTATGGTATAGAGTGGTACCTCGGGTTAAGAACTTAATTCGTTCTGGAGGTCTGTTCTTAACCTGAAACTGTTCTTAACCTGAAGCACCACTTTAGCTAATGGGGCCTCCTGCTGCTGCTGCGCCGCTGCTGCGCTGCTGCTGCACGATTTCTGTTCTCATCCTGAAGCAAAGTTCTTAACCTGGTAATATTTCTGGGTTAGCGGAAACTGTAACCTGAAGCGTATGTAACCCGAGGTACCACTGTAGTTCTAGACACAGTTCAATAGAGCTTACTCCCAGGTAAGTGTGTATAGGATGGCAGATTTAGTATAATGGTGATGCCAAATCTGTAGCAACCTTCACAGCAGCAACAGCTCATAGCAGGCGGGCAGCACTAGTGTCCTCTTTGTGGCAGCGGTGCTTTGCTCCTTAGGCCCCAAAGGGATGTAGCAGTGGTGAGGCTGGGAGAGCTTCAGGTTGGTGGCAGCAGTCCCACAGAGCCCTGCCACCAACTTGGAGCCGCTGCACTGACCTTGCTGCCACCTCACCTCACCCCACCCCTATCCTGACAAGTATAGCACTACCACTCAGAGGATGCTACCGCTGCTATTTCACAGTGCAGTCCTCTAAATTCCAGCCGAGGTCAATCCTGGCCCTTGTACGCATTCAATTGGACATTTGCTAGCCCTCTAGCTATAGCACAGAGCTTTCTAGACTGTGTGTCATGACATGTTAGTGTGTCAGCTGCAGTGTGCAGGTGAGTCGCGAAACACTCCCTGCACTACTCCTGGAGCTGGAAAGGGGTTAGTTAGACTCCGGTTTGCTAGTAAACCTGAATTACTGTGTTGCGAAATGATGCATGTCTAAAAAGTGTGTCACCAACATGAAAAGACTGGAAAGCTCTGCTATAGCAAGGCACAAGTGAGGGGTTTTATGTGTGTGTGGATTAGGCTTAAAGCACTTGCTGTTTCAACTGATTTGTAATGCCAAACAGGCCCAAACATTCATTCACACTATGAAGGCCTTTATTTAGTTTTCCTTTCTACAATTGCACCAGGTTAATGTCTAGCAATATTTTTTTGCCTGCGTTTCTGAGTACAGAGTACATGAGAAATCACACACACTAGAAAAAGTTTGAAACTCCCCCCCCCCTGCCCTGAACGCTTCTGTGTTTCCCTTCTGACACCAGCTGTGTCATTTGCTTGTTGGTATTATTAAACGGAGATGGCTGAGAGGCAGCAGCTGTGTCTAAGGGACTGGAGAGTTGCCGTACCTGATAATCAGCTATTTGGCAAAGTTCATTCCAAACTTAGTTTGTGCACCTGACAACACCTTTTAATTGAGCCTGTCGCCAGTGCTGCCTCTGACAATTAAGTCTAATTGCAGGATCTTGGCTTGGTTTCCGCTTTGGGGAGGAGCCCCTTTGGGAACTGACACTAAATGGCAAGAACGGCATTCAGGTAAACACAAGTTACAGTAAATGCCACTCACAAAGTTAGACCAGAGTTTGGGGCTGTTTCTCAATACAGATTAGAAAGTTTTAATCAAAGCGTTTGAGCTTGGGTGGTTTACTCATTTTACTTTATGTGAGGCCACTCACATAGTGAGGGCAATTGATACTTTGTGCTCTCTGACTCCATGTGTTAAAAGCAATCTGAATTCTGTGGGTTGAATAAAGAAGGCAAATTCACACATCACTGCTTCTGTCCCATCTAATCCCCTCTCCCCACAAATAACCATTTTGTTTGTCCCTTTTTCTACCTGACCATTATGAGCATATGTGTGAAAGGGAAACAGTTTGATCATGGCAGTAAATATGATATGGCCACACATGGAAGGTCACTGTAACTTGTTTTCTACATGCCAGCATTGACCACTGTAACCACATTCAAGCATTACTTTGTTAACTCCAACACGTGAGAGGGGGCAGTGGGGACCAAACACATTAGATTTGCCCCTCGCCATTGGTGTTTCTGTCACTTTTCAAGACATGGAAGGCAGCAATCTGAAGCTGTGAGACTTCAGAATCTGCATGGTGGGATTCTGTAGGAGAGAAGGAACTGCCAGAAATAGTCGAATTGGTTCTCTTTGTTAAATTAATTGCCTGAGCCAAGTCTGTTAAGCATCTCCTTGCATTACTGAAAAAAGCTGGCCAAGCACAGGTGTGTTGTCATAGAAACTATGAGCTCAAGATGCTTCCCAAAGATGGGGGCAGGCCGCTGCCTAATCCCCGGCTGGAGGTGATGTCATCCTGAGTGGAAGGAGAACAGCAGGCCAGGGTCCAGTCTGGTCTTATCTGGGGCTGGGAAGACATGGAAGCTTGACTTGCTCTTTGTGCAAAGAGTCCAAGGCTTTGTGTTTGCCCCCTGCCTCAAAACCTAATGCGGGAAGAGAGAGAGCTGTTTGGGTGTTAATGCTGCAAGCTCATCAAATGTATCCTCAGTCTGGAAAGCAGTCAGCCTTATTATTATTAAACTTTGTATACAGCCCTTCATCCCAAAATCACAACACAAAAATACAAAATGAGAACACAATGATCTATAATAAAACAAAAGCAAGAATAAAAACAAACCAATAATCCCACTCTCACAAACATATTTTAAAGGCCATAGAATGTCAATCAGCCAAATGCCTGGCTGAAGAGAAATGTCAATAATCTGCCTGCCTCAGCCTTAACTTTCATTTTCTTTTTTTAAAAAACAAAATCAACTATTCAAAACAATGTTTGGCTGTTCGGGATTAGAACTCGTTTTGAATGTTACACACCACTTCCAGACAGGAACTTTTTGTGGAATCAGTGCTGCTCACACAGGCAAGTTTTCCCCAGCACCCAGACAGCACTGTCAAGACAATGCCAGGCAGTGCTAGCCTGCATTTTAATCTGGACTGCCCCTACACGCACACACACACACGAAATAAAATGAAAATATTAGGAGGCATTTGCTCTAAAATGCTGGTGAATTTTATTCCACAAGCTGATGTGGAAATTTTGGGGACTGAGTTTCAGATTAGAACAATGGGAAACCTAGGAGACATAGAGCTGTACTTCCCACCCTTTTCAAATGCTGCAAATGCAGCTCAGTAATGCTAGTCCCCTTCCTTTCTCTGCCCATCCAAACCTTCCTCTGCTCAGGATGGGCTTTGTGGATTTTAGTTTTTGTGATGAGCTGCTGGTTTGCCAGGAGAGGGAGCAATTTTCCAGATAACATTGGAACATTGCCACAGTCATTACTCTGGAAAGCAGACTGTGACTGACCTATACGCGTGCATTTGGCCGTCATTCCCAGACGGGGGTGGGGATGACGGGACTGGCTGCAGTGCTGATGCTAATGGCATCACAGGGAAAAAGGAAGCACTGTAGCATCAAAGAGCGTGCAACATCCCTGGATTCTGGTTGCAGGGAGAGCTTTGGAGCCTCAGGTGACTAGATCCTCTGCCTCGCTGTGAGTATAACCATCCCCCTGCATGGAGTCCCTTTGAATTCTGAGTCCTTCCCATTAATGCTGCACTAAACAATCTTCATGGCAGTCTAGAGTCTAGACCATCTCATCCTCTGCATATGTAGCTCCACTGCCCCATTCTCTTCATCATGCAAAGCTTCTTCTCTTGAGAAACTCAAACCCTGACCTAGACTTGGTCTCCAAAACTACTGCATTCTGAGTTTCTCTGGAAGGGCCTTAGAAATGTGCCTTGTCCTCCATTGCAGCAAGACCCTTCATCCTGTTACTGCTTTCTTGTTCCAATGCAGGAACCTGCCTTATAAACTGAGTGAGGCCACTGATCCATTTAGCTCTGTATTGTCTACACTGTCTGGCAGTAGCTCTCCAGAGTTTCTGGCTAGGCGTCTTCTCCAGCCCTACATACAGAAGCTGGGGATTAAATCTGGGTCCTTCTGTGTACAAAGCAGATGCTCCACCACTGAGGCAAAGCCCTTCCCCAGCCATTATTATAGGACTGATGGAAAGAAGCAGAAATCCTTACCTCCTCCTATTGCCTGGGCATCCCTTAGAAATTCCTGAATGTTTAGTAAGAATCCCTTGAGCCATGAAGAGTGGTGCTCAGTCAGACCATTTTAACTCTTCCTGTCACTGAGCTGCTCTCTCCCTCTTCCTCCTCTCTGTTAAGACTGGTGATTAAATGTGCAAAAGTATATGGCTCTACTTATGCATTTAAAACAATACATTGAGGGTTTGACTTGAGGAGGGGGAGAGGGCATGCTAGTCTCACCCTCCCACATTGCTGCACATGATAGACCCTCTGCTCCTGTTTTCCGGGGACAGTCCTGGATTTACAGAAGCCATCTCAGTTTCTGATTACATCCCACTTTTCTTTAGAGTGTTCTTATTTTCATTGGAAAAATGTTGGAGGGTATGGAGTTATTCGACCCCTGAGCCAAGAAGGTAAATAACAATACAACCTTTAGAAGACATCTGAAGGCAGCCCTGTAGAGTTTTATTATGTTTTGATATATGTTGGAAGCCACCCAGAGTGGCTGGGGCAGCCCAGTCAGATGGGCAGGGTATAAATACGTAATAAAATTGTTATTGTTGAATCGGATGTCCCTATTTTCATTGGAGAAATGTTGAAGGTTATGACATGACCATCCATGCTTGACTGATGACTCTTCCAATTCTACAGTTCTATGAGTTTATATCACAGGGAGCCTTGCTGTTACTGGAAGTTGCCTTGCACACACTTTATGAATTGTATGTGTTTTGTGTACATATTGTAACATATTTTTGCTAGGCCTGCCCTAGCAAATTAATTAATGTGGGTGTTGTTTCTGTTTTTGTGTGGGAGAAAGACTCTGCCATGTCTGTATGCAGAGAGATGCCCCCATTTATGTCAATCAACAAAGCAAGGTCAATCCATCTTGCAATGCATGCTGCTTAATTTAGCTCACCACAGGTACGGTCTCTTCCCCGAACAAAGATGGATGAAGACATGTGGAATGAAAGGCCTCCACCACCAGAAATGCCAAGCAGAAGACTAGTATATCCTCAAAAAGGTAGGTTGGGGCAGTGTTTCGGATGTGTGTGTGCATGCTTAACTGTGCACAGGAGTTGTGGTTATTGGCTTATGTAATGCGGTAGGAGAGCTGAAAAAGCTTCCCATCTGGCAACCAAGACACACCTTTGGTTTCAGATAGTACATGGGTAGACAAGTCTAAAAAACCCAGGACACAATTTTTTTATAGCCCTCTAGTGTCTATAGTGGCTCATTTACCAGAAGTAATTTATTTAGTGTTAACTCTGGAAGTGTATATTCGATTCTGACCAAACTAAGTCTCCTGATGTAAATTGTGACTTAGGAGGCTTAGTTTTTCTTTTTAACCAGATGGTATCTATTGTTGTCTTACTGATATTTCTAATTATGCTTTAAAGATATCTATACACTGATTTTATAAAAATTTTTTGGGTGTAAACTGGCTTGATGTATTTTATGAAATGTGGATTATAAATATTCAAATAAATAGCCTGCTCAGGACCAGGTTCCTTGAGAGACCTCCTTATCTCATAGTCTTCCAGTAGGTCACTGCAGTCTGCGGGAGAGCTGCTTCTTTAAGTTCCAAAGATCTCAGACTCCCACTTCACAGTAACTGGGAGAAGGGCTTTTGGTGTGGCTACTCCTATTATGTGGAATGGCATTTCTGTGGAGATGTGACATGCAGTGCCGGATTTGTGTATAAGCTAAACAACTATAGCTTAGGGCCCCACTCTCTTGGGGCCCCCCAAAAAATTAAAGGAAAAAACCTCTGGATGTACATTTCCAAAATATAAGATAAAAAACAAATAAAATAAAACCTACATACAGCAACATTTCAGTTCAATGATTACTTTGATAAAATCCATATTTTGTTATGTGCAAATGGCTTTAGATACTTATTAGGTCCATAAATTACCATATAGCATATATTCAACACAAAAAACAGTTACAGTTTGTTGTTGGCTAAGGACAGCTGGACATATAAAGGGCCCCATTACCTTCAGTAGTTTAGGGCCTCATCAAACCCTGGTGACATGGACCCCATAGTTGCAATTTTCAGAAACAACTGAAAACATTTTTGTTCTGACCAGTGCTCCCCCCCCTAAAATAATGTTTAGGGGTACTCTCATTTTGACTCAAGAAAATCACCATTTTACAGTTCAAATCGGGAAAAATAAATACAGTAAAATCGAAAAAAAGTACAAAGATTCACAAATTGTTTAGGGATATGCGTACCCCTGCGTCCCCCCAGAAAAAAAGCACTGGTTCTGACAACCTTTCCAGCAAGGGTGTGTAGGTTTTTGCCATGGATGTCTGTCTGCTTTGTAATGTACTTAAATGTATCCCTCTTTTAAAGCTCTTTGCTGTTTCTGTGCCTCAGTGCCCTTGCAAAGCATCTCTGTAGCTGTGGCGATCAAAGGCTTCGTGGCAGATGTTGTGTCTGAACTTCATTACAAGAATGAGGAGAAGATCCCTCTGGAGGTTGAATTTGTCTTTCCCTTGGATGCTGATGCTGCTGTCTACGCCTTTGAGGGCCTAATGGGTGAGACAAAAATTGAGGCCCAGATCATGGAGAAGGAACAGGTGAGAGGGCTCAAGGTAGTGTGGGAGGTTGGGGTGGGGATGGAGGTTCTGGGGATGCTGAAGGCCATGATTGGCATGTCTCCAAACCCCTTGAATCAAGAGTTTTAAACCATTGTTTAAAAATGTATTTACTGCACTTATAGGTCATCCAGTAACAAAACGTTCTCTAGGCCGCTTGCTGCCACTTGTAACAAGCAACAATTTATGCACTCACAGTCAACAAACAACTTCAGCACAGTGGAATTAACCGTCAATCAATATATAAATTATTGACTAAATTTTTGATTGAATTTAAATCCTCCCTCCCTCCCCCCCACCAAAAGTAGCTCAGGATGGCAAACATACTCACAATTTAAAAACAAAATTCAGAAATGATTACAAAACAGTGGTACCTCGGGTTAAGTGTTCTTAACCTGAAACTGTTCTTAACCTGAAGCACCACTTTAGCTAATGGGGCCCCCCGCTGCCGCCGCGCCGCTGGAGCACAATTTCTGTTCTCATCCTGAAGCAAAGTTCTTAACCCGAGGTACTATTTCTGGGTTAGCAGAGTCTGTAACCTGAAGCGTCTGTAACCTGAAGCACCTGTGACCCGAGGTACCACTGTATTCTAAAAACAACCACTGTTAAAAACCACATAAATAACACCTAATGCACAGCATGCAGCTCCCTCTCCCTTTTGTTGTAGAGAAGAAGTATGGTAGGGTTGCCACATCTTGAAGAGCAAAAAAGAGGACAGCCCGAGATGCTAGCAGCCCGAGCTGGGGAAAGAGGCATGCGGGGGTGCCTCTGCTGCACATGTGTGCCTCTTTCCCCAGCTCAGGCTGGCAGCAGCCATGGTGTGCAGAGCAGCCTGAGCTTTATGACTTTATGATAAGATTGAAGAAATCAGAAAGGCATCTGAGGTGAAATTAGCAGCAACTCCCCTCCAGAAAAGTTTCTGGCTGCCATTGTGACCCTCACCCCATCTATTTCTCCTTGCTCTTTTCACACCTCTTTCCACCTTTTCACATCTCTTGTTTTTTCTTTCTGGTCTCTCAACATCTTCAGGCACAGGCATTGTATGAAGATCGGTTGGCCATGCTCGAAGCATCTGTGCTGTTTGTGAGGGACCCCAAATCCAGAGACATTTTCAAATGCATGCTGGGTAATCTTCCACCAAGTGGAGAGGCCACACTGAAACTGTGCTATGTCCAGGCACTTGCTCCTGAGCCTGATGGGGCAGTCCGCTTTGTTCTGCCAGTTGTGCTGAATCCTCGCTATGCACTTCAGGGTAAGAAACAGTAGCTGCTAATCTTTGCCCCAACAAAAAGCCTCCCATCAAGATGATTGTTTGTGTCCCAATTGGCCGCCAGGTTAAGCAGCTGTGTGTCCCATGGCTACTCACACTTCTTCCCATCCATCTGTCTCAAAGGACAATGGAGTGCACCTCCAAGGGTGAAATCAAGCTGCTTTGTTAGCAGCACTGAAGTGACCTCCTCAGGGTGCAAGCCTGGGCTGTGTGTGGTTTTTTAAAAATTGTACAAGGGAAGCCCTGCTGTCCTCAGACTGCCTTGTAATTGGATTCTTAGGGTTGTGGATTCTAAAGTAGACTATTGGTCCAATCTGGGTCATGTTCTGCCTGGGTAACATCTGGTAAGTCTGCTTTTGAATCTGAGCCCCGCAAATCCCATGCCATGTGAACCTTCCTGGGGAGAGTATTCTATCATCCAGAAAACCCTTTCCCTTTTAAACTTGGCATCTTTCCCCTCTGCAGGCTGGTCTGCAGAGTCAAAAGAAATGTCCATTTGCAGGTGTGGTTTGAATCCAAACCTGGTCTACAAATGGACAGCTTCACAGGGTCTCATTTCCAGTATCCATCAGTGGATGGGCACTGACAGTGAGTCCCATTGCCTGCACTAAGAAGTTTAAACTGGTAGACCCCCTTGTACAGCTGATCCCAGTGAGACACACCATTGGTATGGATCAGATCATGGCACTGTCAGTGAGCCCTACTTGCCAATGAGCAGTAGAATGCTTTAAGCTCCTGATTGTTCCTTTGCAGCCTCATCTTTTCTTGCTCCACATCTGTTGTCAGGTGTGGGACAGGTAGTGGGAGTGGGTCAAAATGGTCTCCTGTTGCAGGGATGCCAACTTGAATAAAACATTAGGGGGGAGGAGTAAGCTCCGCCATACATAATCGATCACAAGACGTGGCACATGCATATCATTTGAATAACAATGCTTATCAACTTGGGGAGGGCTGGCCCCTCAAATATTTCATGGGGGAGGGGACTGGAGGGACTTCAGCCCCTGGGAGTTGGCTCCTGTGCTGCTATGCCTGTTTTGACCCACAGGTCAGAAGTTCCCTAAGCCTCGTCAATGCTATTTGTATCTTCCCCAAAACTCCACCAATCCAGTTTCTCAGGCTAACATTTGCCTCTGTCATGGAACTACCAAGGGCAGGATTCTGCCTTCATGGACCTGAGGGAACATCTGGAAATTGGAGAAACTATTGTGGGCACCACAAAATATCTGTTCCACAGAAGAAAACCTAGCAGTCCTCAGAGTCTCCTTTCCCAAAGAGGCAGAAAACAGCACCTGAAAATAAACAATACATGCCAACCTCCCGCCCACACAACCAGGTAACTTGCTCAACAAAACAACACAAAACTCACCTGAAAACATTTTTTTTTTTTACAATTGAGAGGGGCAGGGGCTTGGTGGGCATCAAGGACACATTGGTTGAAATCCTGGATGTAGGACAATATTTCAGAACCTAGTGTATACATCTGAGAAGGTCATTTTGCTCACGTTCTCTCATGGCATTGATTGTGTCCCTGTGCAGGGTCAGAAGAGAGCAGCTTCGTACAGGACATACCACGAGTGCCTGAGAGGGAGCTCCCCTACAAGCTCAGCCTCAGTGCTACACTGCATTCTCCATATGGAATCTCTCATGTGAAGTCAAATTGCACCCTCACACCCCTGCAGTATGCAACAGAAGACCACACTACAGCCCAGGTAAAGGATTCTGAGGTGGGGTGGTATTCAGTGCTACTCAGAATAGATCTACAGAAGTTAATGAACATGACTAATTAGGGTTCATTAATGACACTGGGTTGACTCTGAGTAGGTCTGGGTTTATGTCAGCCCATAGTGAAGAGTTGGCATTAAGGGCTTTCAGGAAGAGCATGCTTTTCTTCCTGAAGGCCTGAATACAACTTGACCTTATAGGTTCCCTGTAAAGGGAAAACTGAGCTGCTACTGCTGCTGCAGTCTTTTAGAACTAGCATGATGTCATAACCAGGTTTCAACTCTTGCTTTTGCTTATCATACCCCTGCCAAAGATTTCCCTCACTGAAGGATACTGCCTTAATCGAGATGTGGAGCTGCTGATATATTACAAGGAGGTGGTTCGTAAGCCCAGTCTCCTGCTAGAGGTTGGGAAGCCAGGAGCAGATCCAGGTGAGCAAGGGCTAGAGTTAAGGATGAGCAAATCTGTCAATTTCAGTTTCTTGTTTTCCTAAGTTCAGTTCACCACTTTTCTGCATTAGTTTACAATTATTTTTACTCACAGTAATTTTTTTAGTACAGTCATACCTCGAGTTGAATGAGCTTCGGGTTGAGTGCATTCAAGTTGCACTCCGCGGCAACCCGGAAGTAACGGAATGCATTACTTCTGGGTTTCGCCGCTCGCGTATGTGCAGACGCTCAAAATGACATCACACGCATGTGCGGAAGCAGCAAAACACGACCTGCGCATGCGCTGACGCATCTTGCGTTCCGTTCGGGATGCAAATGGGGCTCCAGAACGGATCCCGTTCACATCCTGAGGTACCACTGTACATTTTCCTAATGCACACTTTTTTTTGAAAGCATTTCTACCCATATAATACATTTTTCGATGCTGTTTTTACTAAAAAATATGCATTTTTATGCACAATTGATCCAAATGTATGCATTCTGTACACTTTTTAAAATGGAGAACTGCACTGCATAATTGAGAGAAGTATGGATTTTGAAATATAGCTGCATTTTGGTTTGTTTATTGTATCACGAACTGCAAATAACTGAATTCTTCCCCACCCTGGTGGAAAGGGAGGTCTTGGAAGCAGAGCTTGGGCTGGGTACATGAAATGCAGCTTGTCCAGTACAATGACTAGGGAACAGCCTTGGGTGGAAATGTCTGCTTACTCCAATCTCTTTTTCCCTGTCTCATAATACAGGTTCACTGATGGGAGACCACGTGCTTTTGCTTACCCTGTATCCCAGTCCTCCTGCCCCAAAGCCAGGCCTGAATACAACAGGCGAATTCCTGTTCTTGATGGATTGCTCTAGCAGCATGAGCTACAGCACCAGAAGTAACTCTGAAGCCACAACCCGCATTCAGAGTGCCAAGGTGCCACCTGGCTAGATGAAAGGGATGTGATGGAAGAACCTATAGCCAAGGGAGGATGATATGTTGGGTTTACAGGAGAGGAGATTAAAGGGAGGTGGTTAAACTCACAGCCATAGACGACTAGATTGCATGCAGACTGAACTTCCAGTTTCAAGCTGAAATTTTCCATTACTCATTTATGGAAAAGACATGGGATGGGATATCCCTTTCTTCCTGCTTGACTATGATGGATGTTTTGTGTACCTCTTGCTTCAAGAATTAGAGTGGCAGCCAGTTTAATGTAATTCCAGACAGGCTGATAAAGACTATTTAGGGATCTGACTCTCATGGGTAGAATAGAATTCGGTCCTATAGGCAAGGTGAGATCAGATGGGCAGAGAGTGATGCATGGAAGTGTATGGGTCTAGGTTAGGACTGAGGGCTTTATTGTTGAGACAGTGTCAACAGTCTAGTTTGGGACAGCTAGGTGACCCAGGATGACAATACCTTTTGCCTTAGGAGACCCTGATTTTCCTTTTGAAGAGTCTTCCTCTGGGATGTTACTTCAACATCTATGCATTTGGATCCTCCTATTACTCATTCTACCGGTAAGTGACCAAGTATTATTTATTTATTTTGTTCATCTTCCCAAAGGAAGCCCAGGATGACCAACAGCATAAAAAGATACTATGCATCATAAAACAACAATAGTACTATGTAATACCATCCACTTGTCCTCCCTTCCCCATCTCTTGCTTTCTGCAGCTTTGCTTCCCGTAACTGGTGTTCTTGGGTTCCCAGATGTTGTTGGGTTACAACTCTCAATGGCCAGGGATGATGGGAGTGGTAGTCCAACAATGTATGGGACCCAGGATGAAGAAGGCTGCCTTGAACACAGCCTCCAGTTTATTAATGTTTGTTCTTTTATTTTTTTACTCCTCTTCCTACTATTATTTTGCTTTCTTATTTGCCCTTCATCATAAGATCCCAGGGTGGGTTGCAACCATGCAAACATACAATATTAAAATTGGTTAAAACAATTTAGTCAACTAATATACTGCTTACTGTATATAAAACATCTCAATGTAGTTTGCAGTATAAGGAGCCAAAGATTCTAAAATATCAAAATCTCTAAAACATACATGGGGGTGTAGAGTAGACCCATTGAAATTAATGGACCCTAACTTAGTCATGTTTGTTAATTTCAGTAGGTGTACTCTGAGAAAGTTGACTACTACCCACAAGGTGTAGGGTTTATCTCATTGCTCTCTGCTTTTAGCAATTTAATTGGGGGGGCTGAACAAAGGGTCCTAGAGGGGCCTCCACCTCCTTTCCAAAGCTGGGAAAGAGCCCTCATGTCTCTTTTCCAAAGCCCAGCACCTCACTTGCAGGGCTTGGGGAAAGTAGCATAAGGGCTGGTGGGGGAGATCAAATGTTCCCGAGGACCACTAAAAAACGCCTCGAGGGCAGCATGCAGCCTTCAGGCCACCCAGTTCTATTTATTCAGAATTGTCCTTTAAGGCACCTTCTTTGATTGTTCATAGTATACTAATTAAGCAAATTTGATCCAGTGGTTTAAAAGTGGACAATTAATTAAAAAACCTGTTGCCAGCATCTATTTAAGAGAGAAACTGGCAAACCTACCGTAAGTGGGTTGGCTTTTGATTTCATTAGGTTCTGGGGAGCCAAGCATCCACAAATTCATTTTTTTTAAAGCACACTTTTTAATTATTATACTGATATTGGGATTTGTTAAATAAAGTATGCAGCTCTGGGATTAATGGGTGTGTGGAAGTGGGAATATAGTACAGGAGAGCAGTCCTTTGCATTACTTTTACTCTCTGATGACCTCTGCAGGAAGAGTGTAAAGTACACACAACAGACCATGTTGGAGTCCCTGCGGGGGGTGTTGGACCTGCAGGCTAATTTGGGTGGCACAGAGATTCTGCAACCACTGAAGGCCATTTACAGCCAGCCATGTAGAGAAGGATATGGCCGTCAGGTAAATTCATCACACCTTCATGTATGTGAAATAAATTAATTGCAGTTCCATGCGGCTACATACCCATTGCCTTTAATTTATCTCCTCTCTTCATGGTATAATCTCAACCAATACAACAAGGGCAAAAAAAGTAGTCTCAGCTAGTTTCATCCCTGTTTGACAAGTAGGAGATGTAACCCCCACTGCCCAAATTATATCTGCTCAAATGACAACACCCTGGCTATTCACTTAAAACAAATGATTTCCTTTGTTTGATTTTAAAAAAAATTACAATCAGGTGGTATATACAGTTAATGAAATAAATTAAATAATATACTACTGTATTTTAGAGAGCCAAGTTATGATCTCAAGAGGGATTTGGAATGTATCCAGTGGGCTGGAAAATTGATCCTAGTTGCTGTGAACTGCAAGCAAGTCTGAACCAGGGATTCAAAACATAAATACAACTTTGTTCCTCCCCAAGGGATAGAAGAAGTGTGTGTGTGTGTGTGTGTGTGTGTGCACGCGTGCGCGCGTGCGCGCGTGCACAGACTTCCAAGTTAACTTTATACACCCCTATTTTTCTCCAGGTCTTTGTATTCACAGATGGAGAGGTATCTAACATAGATGAGGTCATTGCTGAAGTTCAGAGTCACAGTAAGTCCCACAGGTGAGAACAGGGTATGAGATTGTGGTAGGGTGACTGACATTTAATTTTAAGTAAACTAGCCCTGTGAAATGGGGTTGGAGGAAGAGTCTGGTTGAGCATGGCTGGAAACTTGAGGAAGCAGGAAAGTATGGGATGGATCGTGCCAGCCTTTTCAGGTCCCAGTGGTGCTTACTTGAGAAACACTCAATTTTACCCACCAGGAGTGTCACGATACTATGGTTAGCAAGCCTTGATGGTGGATACTTCTTGAAACATGCACAATGGGATAGAGTAGAGCATTGACCTTTCCCCCACTGTCATACAGATGCTTCTCCTTTGGGATTGGTGAAGGGACTTCCTCATACTTCATAGGTGGCATTGCTGAAGCAAGTGGTGGCAGAGCTGAATTCATCAGGAGCAAGGAGCAAATGCAGGCCAAGGTGAGTGTCCTGGTGTTTTGTCTCCATCACCATGATCTGACAGACCCCATCCAACACTTGGGTGAAGAGCCAGGGCTCAGTGGTTGAGGGCATGCAGAATGCCTCAGGTTCAATCCCTGCCATCTCTAGGTAAGTCTAGGAAAGACTTCTGTCTTAGCTTCTGGAGAGCTACTGCCAATCAGAATGGACCAGGGATTAAGACCTTGTGGCTCTCCAGTAGTTTTTGGACTTCTACCTGGCAGGGTGGAAACAAGTTTTTAAAATGGTGTTTGAGTTACACCACCCTTTTTGCCAGCTTAAGTTACACCCGGTTGCCATGTCTCATTACTGAGCTGAGCAGGCCTGGGATACAGTCTTCTATGGTCTCACCCCCAAACACCCCCTTTTCAGGGCTCACACATAAGATCTGCTCAGCCAATTGGGTCCCACCCAAACCAGGAGAAGGAGATACGTGTGTATTTCTTGGCTGAGCCAAGGATGAGGGAGTTAAGCTGGTGTGGTACAGCTGTGTCAGGAACCTCATACATAGCTCAGCCAGATATCCACCAGATCCTATCCCTGCCCATCCCAACAGATCTTGCTATAAGTTTTCTCCCCAAGCTATGTTTGATCTCTCGTCCCCCTTGATTGTGAGATCATTTGTGTTTCACAGGCACTGCGATCTCTGAAGTGTTCTCTGCAGCCGGAAGTGAAACACATTAAACTAGAGTGGCATTTGCCTCCTGGCCTCGAGGCTGTGCTTCTGGGGTCAAGCACTCAGGCCATCTTTGCAGGGGAACGCTGCCTCATGTACGCTCAGATCTGCGGGCAGCAACAGGCAAGTAGGCCCAATATAATGGTGGGATACATACATACCCATAGTTGGTGGGCAAAATCAATGTGATGCGTGGTGTGTGATGAGGTGCACCAGAGTTGGGGGCAAAGGTGGTGGGGGGAAAATTATGATAATGTTGTGGAAACTAAACTTATCCAGGGATAACACAGGGAAATAGGTTGAGAGTGGATGGGGATGCTCTCTCTCTTTATTATGGGGAAGGCCATGTGTTGTTGTTTAGTCGTTTAGTCGTGTCCGACTCTTCGTGACCCCATGGACCAGAGCACGCCAGGCACTTCTGTCTTCCACTGCCTCCCACAGTTTGGTCAAAGAAGGCCATGTGTAGTCTGTACTAAACTTAAAATTAACTAGAAATTGCTGCCCCAATGCATCTGTCTTCTAAGGTAACTGCATCAGTTTACCAAACGGCAGGGCTGGCCCTGCACATGAACATTCATGCTCATTTCTCTAAATCTGCCAAAATAAGAAGGTAAAGTGCTAGTCTCTCTTTAGGCTTTGTCCCTGTGAGCTACTGGCCGTTATACACCACCCAGGGTACCCACCATTGTCAAGCACTACTTCACCTGATGCTTTTATTTCTTTCCTGCAGACCTCTGACCTCCCAGAGGGTTCTGTTGTGCTCCAGTACAGCATGCAAGGCCAGACTTTCACAGAGAAGATGGACTTTCGACTTGAGGCAGAGGAGAATGACAGGTTGGACTCCCCACCCCGCTTTCCCCCTCCCCACTTTGCTCTTTACATGCAGCTGCATTGGAAAGTACTGTCTAACTTTCAAAAATGTATTTGTTCCTGAAAGCTAAAATTTGAGACCAGATATAAACAGAAATTATAAAGAGAGGCGGAATGAAGAACCTTTGGCCCTCTGGTTGTTGTTGGACTCATTCTGCCACCAGCACCAGTCAGGATGGCCAATGGCCAGGGATGATAGGAGGCGTAGTTGACAGAGCAGACTCAGGCAGGAGCTTCATCCTGTCTAATGATTAGGAACATATTGTCCTGTGAGATGATGCCAAAGGCCCTTCTAATCCAGCACGGTGGCAATTCAGATGCCTATAGGAAACATGCAGGCAGGATCTGAGTCCAACAGGATTCTTCTCACTTGTGATTCCCAAAATACCACCTCTGATACTGGAGGGTAGTACACAGTCATAAAGGCTAGTAGCCATTCATGGCTTTATCTTCAATGAATTTGACCTTTGAAGTTGGCAGCAGTCTATTATAATGCTGCCCACCCCCAGGGAATACCAGAAAGGGGTGGGCCATGAAGCCATCACCACCCACCACACCTTCCACTTCAAATTCTACCTTGCACTTTCCTCCCCACCCTTTGTCTCTCTACAGGCTTCCTGTTCACCGACTGGCAGCTCAGGCTGTTTTGAAAGAACTGGAGGAAACAAGATCGACAGCAAAGCAGCAGCTGGTGCTGGAGACCAGCCTGAGCTCTGGGGTGCTGTCTGCTCAGACTGCTTACGTGGTAGTGAATATGGAACGGGGCGAGCCGCTTCAAGCCCCTGTTGAATTCAGAGAGATTCCATATCCAAATAGTACGGAGCACTGAAGCGTTATAGGGGAGGGGAACAGTGAAAATCAACAAGTACTGGGACTTGGAGGAAACTAGCAGAGCAGTGTGATATGACAACAGTAGATAAACTTCAAGATAGGGGGCCTGAGATTTATACTGAAACAAATAAAAGGGTTATGGCAGTAGCATAGCGTGGGGGGTGCAGGGGGGGCTGGCCGCACCGGGCGCAACATCTGGTTAGGGTTAGGGGGCGCAAATCCACGGGTTAGGGGGCGCAAATCCATGGGTTAGGGGGCGCAAATCCACGGGTTAGGGGGCGCAAATTACTTGCCTTGCCCCGGGTGCTGACAACCCACCCTACGCCACTAGGTGATGGTATGAAAGCTGGAGAAGCACTAAGAATGACTATAGAGAATTTTTTGTGTTTGGTAGGATGGATGTAAAGGAAGCTGAAAGAATGTTGTAGACTGGCTTCCTCACCAAGGCCTCTCCACTTAAGGTGGCTATTTGTCCCTTTATTTCAGAGAGAGGCAACCTAAGGCCCAGGGGCCACATGCGGCCCAATCACCTTCTCAATCCGGCCTGCGGATGGTCCAGGAATCAGCGTGTTTTTACATGAGTAGAATGTGTCCTTTTACAGTGGTGCCTCGCAAGACGAAATTAATTCGTTCCGCAAGTCTCTTCGTCTTGCGAGTTTTTCGTCTTGCGATGCACGGTTTCCCATAGGAATGCATTGAAAATCAATTAATGCGTTCCTAGGGAAACCGCCTTCAGACCAGGTCCGGGGACAGTCTGTCCCCCGACCTCTTCTGAAGGCTGGGGGGGGGGCGAAAGTCTTTGCTCCCCCCGCCTGCATTCAAAAGCCCTCCGGGACAGCGGAGAAACGTGCTGCGTTTCTCCGCTCTCCCGGGAAGGCAGGCAGGGGGGAGCAAAGACTTTTGCCCCCCGCTGGCCTTCAGAAGAGGTCCAGGACCTCTTCTGAAGGCTGGCGGGGGGCAAAAGTCTTTGCTCCCCCCCTGCCTTCAAAAGATGTCCGCCCAGGGTTCGCAGACCTCTCCGCAAGCAGCGGCAGCGCTGCCGCAGCTTGCGGAGAGTTGCCGGCATGCCGGAACAGCTTTCCGAAGTGGGGCGGCTGGGGCAGGTGTCCCCGCCCCCCCTCCCCACTTCGGAACAGCTTTCCGAAGTGGGGCGGCTGGGGCAGATGTCCCCGCCCCCCTCCCCACTTCGGAACAGCTTTCCGAAGTGGGGCGGCTGGGGCAGATGTCCCCGCCCCCCTCCGCGCTTCGGAACAGCTTTCCGAAGTGGGGCGGCTGGGGCAGGTGTCCCCGCCCCCCTCCCCGCTTCGGAACAGCTTTCCGAAGTGGGGCGGCTGGGGCAGGTGTCCCCGCCCCCCCTCCCCCCTTCGGAACAGCTTTCCGAAGTGGGGCGGCTGGGGCAGATGTCCCCGCCCCCTCCCCGCTTCGGAACAGCTTTCCGAAGTGGGGCGGCTGGGGCAGATGTCCCCGCCCCCCCTCCCCGCTTCGGAACAGCTTTCCGAAGTGGGGCGGCTGGGGCAGGTGTCCCCGCCCCCCTCCCCCCTTCGGAACAGCTTTCCGAAGTGGGGCGGCTGGGGCAGATGTCCCCGCCCCCCTCCCCACTTCGGAACAGCTTTCCGAAGTGGGGCGGCTGGGGCAGGTGTCCCCGCCCCCCTCCCCACTTCGGAACAGCTTTCCGAAGTGGGGCGGCTGGGGCAGGTGTCCCCGTCCCCCCGCCCCACTTCGGAACAGCTTTCCGAAGTGGGGCGGCTGGGGCAGGTGTCCCCGCCCCCCTCCCCACTTCGGAACAGCTTTCCGAAGTGGGGCGGCTGGGGCAGGTGTCCCCACCCCCCCTTCGGAACAGCGTTTTAAAATGCTGGGGGTCGGGAGCGAAGCGCTGCCGACCCCCAGCATTTTAAAATCTCCCCGTGTCCCGGGAAGATTTTAAAATGCTGGGGGTCGGGCTGCCGACCCCCAGCATTTTAAAACCTTCCTGGGACACGGGGAGATTTTAAAATGCAGGGGGTCGGCAGCGCTTCGCTCCCGACCCCCAGCATTTTAAAACCTCCCCGGGACACGGGGAGATTTTAAAATGCTGGGGGTCGGCAGCGAACCCGACCCCCAGCATTTTAAAACCTCCCCGGGACACGGGGAGATTTTAAATGCTGGGGGTCGGCAGCGAACCCGACCCCCAGCATTTTAAAACCTCCCCGGGACACGGGGAGATTTTAAATGCTGGGGGTCGGCAGCGAACCCGACCCCCAGCATTTTAAAATCTCCCCGGGACAGGGGGAGATTTTAAAATGCTGGGGGTCAGCAGCTAACGCTTCGCTCCCGACCCCCAGCATTTTAAAATCTCCCCGGGACAGAGACTTCTCTGCTGTCCCTTGGAGATTTTAAAATGCTGGGGGTCGGCAGCGAACGCTTCGCTCCCGCCTGCCAGCATTTTAAGATCGCCCCGGGCAGGCGGGGGGAAGGCAGGCGGGGGGGAGCAAAGACTTTTGCCCCCCGCCGGCCTTCAGAAGAGGTCCTCTTCTGAAGGCCGGCTGTGGGCGAAAGTCTTTGCTCCCGACCGCCAGCATTTCCCTATGGGCTTTCGTCTTGCGATGCAAGCCCATAGGGAAATTCGTCTTGCGAAGCGCCTCCAAAACAGAAAACCCTTTCGTCTTGCGGGTTTTCCGTCTTGCGAGGCATTCGTCTTGCGGGGTACCACTGTATTTAAAATGGTTTTTTTGTGGGGCATAGAAATTCATTCATCCCCTCCCAAATATATTCCACCCCCCAACAAGGTCTGACAGACAGTGGACCAGCCCATGGCTGAAAAAGGTTGCTGACCCCTGCTCTTTTTTCTTTGTCTTGTGCCTGGGATATGGTGGAAAACACCAACTTTGAGGCATCAGATCAAGGCCTACATTTTAAAATGAGCTTTAAAAATATATTTGTAAATGTTTGTATCTCTCATGCCAGGCAGAAACCAGCTGGCTGGGTCCTTTGGCAGATGTTTATCTTCCTAAACAGGGCCCCTCTGATCTATAAGCAGTGCCTCAGGGTTGTAAAAGGAAATTACAGGCTGGGAGCAAAAGGTCACACTGACCATACAAATTACAGAATACAATCAAGCTGCAAAGACACAATTAAGAGTTGGTAAATAGTAAGTTTTATTGTTTAACAGAAGACTCGAGCCATATTTTCATAAGGTTAAAGGGCAAGAGCTAATAGAAACAGCAGCTGGCTTGAAAGGAGGGTGTAGATCTAAGGGGTTGCTTTCGAAGCTGTTTTATTAAGTTCCTTTTTTACTTTGAAAAGGCCTTTCCTTCTAAAAATCTATTTATGTTATGTATGAAATATATTGGCTTAAATGTAATCATGCAAAGGATTTAGAAAGTAAGAAATGTTAGATTCTTATGTTAGATTCTTATTTTATTGATGGTGTGTGAGAAGGTGAACCCAAGATCTCTGTTTAAGATAAAATTAGAATCATTAGCTATCTGTTTTGGAGTGAATAGGGCAATAGGGCAAAAAGGTTATCTGGTAATTAAGGTGCCTGGTCGAGGCAAATGTAAGATATATGGCTACTTGTCTGCCATTTATGGATAGAAGGAAATATAGCTCTTTGTCTCCCATAAAAGGTAATAGGAAATGGGTGTATCTTTTATGATTGGTTCTAGCAAACAGCCAATAGGAATTTCAACCAGGCTGATTGGACAGAGGCAGCCAAAGGAGGAGCAAGGGGGCTGGGCTGAGGAAATATAAGTGCTGGCCATCAGGGCTGGAGTGGGCAGAGCTTTGGTATCCATATACCACTGTGTCTCTCATTTATTTGTCTGACAAATAAATTATTATTTTAATTTCTCTATTGCTGCGTTGAATATTTCATTCCAGCTAAGCGTTAACCACAAGCAGGGTGCTACAACTTCAGTATTACTTGTGCTCTATCTCTTTTTAGGCTCTGTGTGGGCTGCTATACTCCAAAGTGATCACTGCTGTTATGAATATAAGTGCGAACCTTCCAGATGTGAGAGTATTTTGCGGAGAGCTTTAGAATTTTCCTCAAAGCTCTATTTCTCAGCATCCACCCTTTTTGCCAGCAGTACCAGAGGTTGGAGAAGTTATTCCACTACTGGAGAGTTCCTTAATGCTCAAAATGCAGTGTTTGACCATGCCAGTCTCCCAAGTAAGTGTAGGATTGCAACAGGATGTGAGTTTGCACTACATCCTTGTTTAGATTTATGTGCTAAGAAACCCCAGATCATGTTGGATTTCTTAGTCTTAACATTTACAGATTCTCCTCCCTCCTTTCCTTCTTATCAGTATCTTGGTCAAGAACTTGGAAGGATAATGTCTATTGCAGGGAGAAATCAGGTGCAGAGTGCCACCAATTAGAAGTCATTGCCAAGAGACTAGGATCTGTGGCAGGAGATTTCCCACCCTCTGACCACTTGCTGCCTCCAGAGATTAAGTCACAGAGATCTTCAGAATCACTATGTGGTGTACAAATGGTTGGGCATGCAAAATAAGCATGCTTGAGAGTTGAGACAATAGCTTACCTCTATTTAGCAGCATGTATTGTTGATTAATAATAAGTTTTTGGAAAAAACCAGAAGGTTTAAGTGTCCATGCATAATAAAATCCCACTCTTAAATCCAGATTCTGCCACACATCTTATCTCTTCAATATATGGAAAGAAGGAAAGGACTATGTAAGTGAAGGAGGGGAACTTTGCAGGTGGGGATGACTCAGTTCATTATGATTCATGTGGAATTTATTCTGTTTGTATTTATCATTTATATAATTTATAATTAATTCAAAGCCCATCCAGGTGGCTCTCACAACATATTAATCTAGAAAGCTGCAATCTATTAAAAATACACTTGGACTAAAACATCAAGGTAGCCAATAATGAGAAATTGAAAATAGAAGTTAAATACAGAGCACTAAAATATAGATTAAATGCAGCTTGGAACAGAAAGGTCTGCTTTTAAAGCTAACACTATAGGGCTCATATTTACTTATTTACTTACTTATTACTTTTACTTTTCAATTCCAGAGTGGGGAGCAAAGTACCGTATTTTCCGCCCCATAGGACGCACTTTTTCCCCTCCAAAAATGAAGGGGAAATGTGGGTGCGTCCTATGGGGCGAATGCAGGCTTTCACTGAAGCCTGGAGAGCGAGAGGGGTTGGTGCGCACCGACCCCTCTCGCTCTCCAGGCTTCAGGAGAGGCCCAGCACCAGCCCCACAAGATCGGGGGACAGAGGGAGGTGGAACGCCGCCATCCCACTGTCTCCCGAAGTGGTTTGGAGGCTGACGGCGGGGAGAAGAGCGCTTCTCCCCGCTGCCTGCCCCACCACTCCGGGGACAGCAGGGAGACGCAGCGCGTCTCCCCGCTGTCCCCGGACCTGATCTGAAGGTGGGAGACGGGGAGAAGAGCGCTTCTCCCCGCTGCCTGCCCCACAAGCGCCTGGGGGAAAAAATAATTCCCCCCCTTTATTTTCCCCCCAAAAAACTTGATGCGTCCTATGGGCCGGTGCGTCCTATGGGGCGAAAAATACGGTAATGAAAATAATTAGAGAAAAACAGGATACAAAAATTATAAGCAGGTCCAATAAACAACAATTTATCAAGGTAAACAAGCAAAACAGCAGTAAAAATTAATATTTCAAATTTAACCAAATACCTAGATAGAAACAGACTGAAACAGATTAAAGAATGAAAAGTCTTAGCAACAGGTCTCACCTCATTTCCCCACTTTGGCAGTCACCACCTCTCTGTCTCTCTCACAAAGAGGGCTCACTCTGTGCCAACAGACTCTCACCCTGAGGCTTTTGAGTAACTTAACATCTTTTACCCCTACTCTCCAAACTATCCAGGCTCTCACCCTGAGCAGTATAGTGAATGCCCCCTAGCATTCACCGTAATACATTTCTCTCCCTTATCCACAGTAGCAACAGAGAAAACACACACACACACACACACACACACACACACACACACACGGGTAGCAATAAGCTAAAGCTGGTGTTTCTCTCTCCTTCCCCATCCCAAGGAAGCTCACAGACATCAGGGTCAGTAGAGCTGTCAGCTAGAGACATGCATATGGATTTGATGGACTTCGCCATCTCTCTTCTCCTTCCCAGCTGGCACAAACAGCATTCAGAGTTTTGCCTGTACATGCTCAGAGAGGGAGACCGTAAGCTGGGGCCACCATTGAAAAGGTGCTATGTGTAGTGCCTGCTAATTTGACCCTACTTGACACCAGGTCAATGAGCCTTGGAGGCCAATCTTAAAGAATGGTTCAAATGGGTGCAGATACAGAAAGAAATGCACTCCAATCCAAGGCATAATTTGGTGGGGAACCTCTGGCCCATGGGCCAAATATGACCTACTAGGCCTGTCCATTTGGTCTGAACCATGGTCATGTGCCCCATACCTGATGTCATATATCACCTGTTGGGCAGGTATCAGTGTGGCTTTAAAAAGTTTCCCACCCCTGGTTTAAGGCATAAAGTAGATCTGGGAAGCCTGAAAGCTCGGCTACCATGCCCAGACCTTGGGAGCTGGCAGTGGGGTAATAATTCTCTTTGCAATCATGTGGTACTGAATCCGTCTTCTTCTAAGCGCCCAGCATTCAAGGCTTCCCAAAGCCTCCCACAACATGTATCAAATGATTCCAGAATGGTGTTGTAAACAATCCTGTACACTTTCATACATTATTTCCTGAGTTCTACAGATTGTGACCTTTCTTTGTTTTCATGGATTTTCAAAACCCTTTGGAGAATAGAGGAAGAATAAAGGAAATGCTTGCAAGGTGTGCAATTTTTTCTTTATTCCCTCAACAGCAAATGAATCACTTCTCTTGAGGCTAGTCTCCCTGCAGAATGCTGATGGTTCCTGGTCCCTTGATGCCAACCTGCTCAGCATACTAGGTCTGGGTGAAGCAGAGATTCTGGGGAAAATGCCTACTCAGGTAGGACATTTGGAAAGCTCATACGCTCTTCTGTGTCTTCACCTGGATGGGCCCTTGAAGATAGAAATCATTCTTGGATCCATCCAAGGTGGGGGTCCCCATGGGGGCAGGCATTGGAGGTGTCCCTGACAGGATGAGTGAGAATCACTTTCTGTTTTCCTCCCCTTCCCTGCACATAATCTCAGGTGCTCCAAACTGCATGGACAACAGTTCTTGTCGTTCTCTGGCTACATGTCCACTTTGCAGAACGTAGTGATATCTGGCAGCTATTAGAGGCAAAAGCCGTGGGATGGCTCCATGAGAGCACAGGTGAGTGTGTGTGTGTGTGTGTGTGTGTGTGTGAGAGAGAGAGAGAGAGAGAGAGAGAGGCAAACAGCCTATAAGAATAAGGACAATAGTGATGGATATACAAAGGCAAAGGAGAGCAAGGAACGGTGGAGGAAGGAAATCAAAGTGTGCATTTTAATTTGTCATTTAGCTTGCAACATAAATTGTTTATTTGTTTATTTATTTTTTCTTAGTGTGATTTTTACTGCCATTTTTACTGTGTTTGCTATGGATAGACAGCTTAGGGGTCTGTCAGGAAACTGCTTGCTGGTGCCACACTGAAATAACCACCTTGTATCCCTTTTTGTTGCAGGGCCTAAACTTGCTGAGTGTGTGAAGGCTGGGAATACCTTCTTGGGATGTGACGTCAGTGCTGAGGTCTTTGGGCTCTGAGCTTCCCCCTCTTGCCAGCATAATCCTTATATATGTCACTGGAGTTTTGGCACTTGCTTTTTCTTCCCTTCAAGAGTATCTCATTGTTCCATCTGCATGCCTATTGTACTTTCATGAGCCTTCTGTCTTTTGGACTTACTTCAGATGTGTCTCTTTTCCTCAATAGGGCATCAGTTCTTCAAAGATGCTTTAACTTACTGCAGTAATATCAGTGATGTTCCCTATGCACTCCATTCATAAACATGTACTGAGAGAGCGGAAAGAGAACTGTAATAGGCAACTGGATTGTGTGTGGGAAATGTTTTGGGAGAACATGTTCACAGTTTGAGTTAGGGGTTGGGTGAGTTTCAATAAAGAAAAAGGTGTGCAGGTATTTTATGCAAAGTGCCTCAATGTTGTTTGGTCATATGAAGTGTAGGCAAAGGACTTATCAATTGATATGTCATGGTGAGCTACAAATCCCATGATGCTTTTTTTTTTTTAAAATAATATTTATTGAGTTTCCAAAAATTTAAACACTACAAACAAAGAAGCAAAAAGAAAAAAACAAACAAAAAACAACACAATACAATACAAAAACACTACAAAACACTAACACATAAGACAAATAAAACAAAACAAAGACCATTTAAAACACATTAAACAATTTCAATGTCATATCTTTCGTTCGCTTATTTCCATGACTTCCTCACACCTCCCTTTTTGTTTTCCACATCAATTAATTATTTCAGCAATTCCTTTCCATCTTCCTCTGTTTTCTATCCTATAATTATCTTAACACATTCTAACCTTATTTTGTTCCCTTTAATGCTCTATTGATCTATTTATACTTAATTCCTTATAACATTTCTGCTAAAGCCATATAACTTCTTTCCAACTTTGTTCTAACATTCATTAATTTTGCAATATTTCTATAAATAGTCTTTAAACTTCCAGTCTTCTTCCACCAGCTCTTCTCCCTGGTCTTGGATTCTGCCGATTCTCTCAGCCAGCAAAAAGCAGATGATTCACAACAAAATTTAGGGGTCTGGCAGGGCAAGTCCACTTCCTTCTTTAGCATCCGTTAGTATCTTAAATTTTACTCGAGGCTTTCTGCCCTGCCCACCAAATCTAGAGTCGTCCCTCTGCCACCTCCTGAGACAATCCCTCCCAACCAAAGCTTGCAATGTTTGAAACAAAAGCAACATCCCCGACATCACAGCAACCCTCATCCCCACCACAGCAACTCGGCCCAAAGATAGCAACTTCCAATTTAACTCTATTTCCAAATCCGCCTTCTCTTCAAGCCAACGTCCTTCACAGTTGCCCTTGAATAGATTCACATTTCTGGCGGTCATACTAACCCCCAAATACCTCTCTTTCTCAACCAATGTTAGTCCTATCTCCTCCTGAAACTCTATCAAGCTTTCCTTTTCCTCAGGTAGGGCTCTGATCATCAATTTCATCTGTTTCTCTTTAAGTTCAGTCATAACAAGTGTCAGCTTGTATTCATCAAGTTGTCCTTGTATGGATGGGACTCTCTCTCTCTCCAGTTGAATTACTTTAACTTCAGCAGCAAGGGTTTCCTCCTTAACTTCATCCGCAGTTTGCCGTATCAGGGTAGATTCCTGTATCAATTTCTGGGTGGTTTCTGTATTGGTATTCACCTTTTGTTCCAGGTTATTTAAACTTTCTACCATTAAGTCAATTTTAATATTTGCAGCATCCACTTTCATATTTATCACATCTGTTTTCTTGTGAAGCTGTTCCAGCGAGTCATTTATTTTCACTAATACAACCGCTAAGGCCTCTTCTGGCGACATTCCGTCTTTCCCATCTGCCATAACACTCAATAGATTCAAGGTCAGTCTCACAGTCTCACGGTTTTTATCTTACAGCTGGAAATTTCCCAGCCCAGATCTTATGTAGCCGACAGTTTCAAGAACTTCCACTAGACGAAAACAGTTTCTATTTGTATTGATACATAATATCCTCCTATAGGCACAGTTCAAACGACCCAAAACTAATTTCAATTTTCAGTTACTTTCACTGCTGGAGACAGTAGAAACAATGTGTCTTCTCTTATGCTAGCTGTCAATGAACGATCCAAACACTGTCAATAAACGTCCCACCAAACGTCGGACCTACTAGCAGCCCGTTCCCAGGGTCCGAGCGGCGGTATTTTACCTCTCTTGGTCTCTTCCGCAGGCAAACTCAGTCCACAACTCCCCCCCTTCTCCTGCCTCCAAGGGGGGGATTATATTCTTTACTTATGGAAATTTAGTCTTTTACAAAAGGCTTTCCAAGACTTCAGCTTGCAGCCTCAATTTCTTCAGTCTATTTACAAAAGGGGAAGGCGGACTTCCTGTATTGAACCTTCCCCGTTTCGATGCCAAATTAGACGTTTTAAAAATCCAATTTTCCCGATTAAGCTCTACTCACGGGTAGTTACTTTAGAATCAAATTGTCCACAGGAAAAAGTCAGCACTCTCCGACAACAGCTATGCGGTTTTGCTCCGTGGAAGAAGCAGATGATTCGAAGCACCGCGCCGCTCACCCCACGTCGCTCCGGATCCCCGAAACCGGGTTTCCCCGCAAGTGGGGGAGGCGCAAAAGGTGCCCGCCGAATCCCACGCTCACAGGCTTCTCCCGCCTGTGATTTTTAACGGGTCTCCGCCTTCTCCGTGGTGGCCAGACCCAGATTTCCACGGAGCTGATTTCTCCCGGTCAGAGGAATCCAGCCATTGCCGGAGGCGCCTCCCCAGAAGTCCTACAAATCCCATGATGCTGAGTGGAAAAAAGACAGTAGTGACACTATGCTGAACACTGTTTTTGCCTTACTAATAGTCAAAGATGAGCTGAAGGCAAAAGTGTGTGTGTGTGAGAAGGATCAAGATACAAGGACCCCTTGAGAATTTGAGCAGCAACATTTGCCTAGGCAAGCACTCATGCATAAATTCTCATAACACCGCTTCCCTCACTATTTTCAGGTAACACAGATAAAACCAGGTAATAGAATCATAGCATGGTAGAGTTGGAAGGGACTGTGAGGATCATCTAGTTCAGCCACCTGCAATGCAGGAATACGTAGCTTTCCATATGGGGAATGAACTTGCAACCTTGGTATCATAAGCACCATGCTCTAACCAACTGAGCTATCCAGTTGTATAAGCATTCTCATATTATTATTTTCTTCTTATTAGTATCTCCCTGTTGTTCAGCTTTGGCCTCAGTACAATGATGTAGCATTTAGGAAAAAATATGCAACCAAGCAATCCAGCACTGGAGGACAGGATGGAGAAGATTTCCACAGCCACCATGTATTTTCCTTTAGTGCTCAAGTAGGTTGGAAGAAAGGTTATCCAAACACTGCAAAACACCAACATGCTGAAAGTGATAAATTTGGCCTCATTGAAACTGTCTGGCAACCTCCGGGCTAGGAAAGCCACAACCAAACTGACAACGGCCAGGAAGCCTATGTAGCCCAAGACACAGTAGAACATGATTGCTGAACCTTCATTACATTCTAGTATTATCTTTCCATGCACTGTGTGCATGTCTCTATCAGGGAATGGAGGAGATGTAAATAACCAAAGAGCACAAATGGCTGCTTGAATAAAGGAGCAGGAAAGGACAATAGAATTTGCGAGTCCTTTCTCCACCCATTTCCTCATTCTAGATCCTGGTTTGGTTGCCATGAATGCCAGAACCACAATGATGGTTTTTGCCAACACAGATGAAAGAGCCACAGAAAAGATGATGCCAAAAGTAATTTGTCGAAAAAGGCAGATGATCTTTCCAGGTTGTCCGATGAAGAGTAAGGAGCATAGGAAGCAAAGGAGGAGAGAGATGAGGAGGATACAGGTAAGGGTCTCATTGTTGGCTTTGACTATGGGAGTGTCTTTGTGCTTCATAAAAATTCCAAGTACTAAACTTGTGATCAAGGAGAAAGAAATAGCCGTGATAGTTAAAATGCTCCCTAACGTTTCTTTATAAGAAAGGTGGACTAGAATCTTGGGAATGCATTCAATTTGGCTGTTGTTGGGGTATTGGTCTTCTGGACAACTGACACAGGCATCCATGTCTGAAAAAAAGGAGGAATTGTTTAAGTATTTTAAAATGTTAACCAACACCTCCCTAATTTTTAAATGTTGCATTTCTTTGACCAACACTAGGAGAAAGGATTCCCATAATTTCAAAGAGAAAGTGAGAGTGCTTGGTGATCATGCAGATCTGGTAATGACTAAATGTTTTCTGTGACACAATTTTTGTATGATGCAGACCTTTTCTCAAGTCATGAACATAGAAGGTGACTCTTGGAAATGCTGTTTTTTGTTAGTCTTAATTCTCATGTATAATTTACAAGATTGTTAGTGATGATATTGGGATAGTGTATGTGGAGCACTTTAAACATCCAAAAAGCACTATTCACCTGCCTAATTATTATTATTACTATTGTATTTGAGTTTGGAGAGCCCTTTAATCCCAGAGCATGGTATGAAGGCACATTGCACAGCTAGCCTTCTGAAATTGTAATAGTTTGGGTCTGGTCAGTTCCTGGATGGTGGACCATCCATGATGCTTCTGAAGCACACTGACTTGATTCTGCTTGTGGAATGAATGCAAAGAATGGAATACATTGATTCATTTACAATGGATATGAACATTTAATCATGTATTTACTTAAGTGACATTTATCTCAGTGGAACACATGTGCAATAAGATCATGTCTCACAGATGAAGAAAATTTGCTGTCTCACCTTACTGGTGAGTTGATGGGATGCACTGCATATACTTGGGATGACCAAGCAGAGTAATGGGGAAGTGAGAAGAGGATTGCACCAAATTTGTCTAGCAGAAGAAGAAATTGTATGCCTGTCCCTCAGTGTTGGGCTTCAAATCCCCATTAGCAGTAAACCCCATTAGAGCATCTTCCTTCCTTCCTGTATAACCAGCCCAAAAAGATGTGGGGTTTTTGGCTGCTGCAGTAAGTGGCCATCAACTGCGTTGGCAACCTGTGCATTATTTTGTCTGTACCACTCGAATCAGTCCAGAGCACTGAGTGGGGGAAATTGAGGCCACCACATGGTGCAGAATGTTTGGAGAAAATTTCGCAAAGTGGTCTGCTTTTTGCGGGTGGGAGAGAGAAAGGGGGGAGAAAGGTCAGCTTTATATTCAAATGCAAATCTGCTTCTTAATAAAGAGATTCTAGAAATCCTAACAGTCTAATTCGGAATAAAAGCCTTTCTATTGCCATTTTTAAATAACTGAGTCAAAAATTCCCACTAACGTACTTAAAAATAATTTAGTGATTTACTGCTAAATCACCATCTACCTACTTCCCATTATTGAGGAAACCACAAAAGTGAAGGCTTTAGGTGAAAGTCTTCTGTGAGGGATGCTATGAGTGAATAAACAAATCAAAATTAGTTTGGTATAATAACTAAAAAAATGTTATCCCCTTTCTGTGTCAATGATGGCATCAAGCCATACACACAGTTCTGAATATTATACATGAAAAAGGAAAACCCATGCAAGTTGGTTGTTCCCACTGTCTATGCAAATTGCACCAATCACCACATGCTTAGCTTGCTAAATCTTACTTATAATTTGTAATAGTTTTGCTCTTTCACATCCAGGTGGACATTGTAGCCTTGGGTGTGGTATGTTTGTTCAGTTTGGGCTGGTACACCAACTGTGCCCATTCCTAAAGAAGGTTTAACAGGCTATGACAATACATGTGTTCATTACATTGAGGATGCATTACTGCAATGCAGTCCACCTGGGGTTTCCTTTGAAGATTTTGAAATTCCACTTGTTCCAAAATGTGGCAGCTCATATCTTATTCAGAAGTAAATATTAGGAACATATTTCTCTCCTCTTGAAGCTTCTAGTTCATTTGCAGACCCATTTCAAAAACTGACTGATAATTTTTAAAGTCTTACATTTCTTAGGGACACACACACACACACACACACACACACACACACACACACGAAAGCTCCTATTTGAATTGATGAGTGCATTAAGATCTGCTTGGAGGATTGTGACTCTAGGTTATGTTGTTTTATGTTCTGTTCACTCTGTATTTTATAAAAAATTTGATTACTCCTCCTACCCTTTTGGTGAGAGATTTTTCCTTCCGGACACCGAGCACAATCATAGCAGCAAAATCTCTCTCCCTCCTTCTTTTTCCTGCTATAGCCAGGATAGCAGTTGTCATTGCATATAGAAACTGGCAGAGCCTGTAAAGAAACATGAAGGATTTTTAGCAAGACCAGTCATCCATTCTACACAATGGGGTGTATGGCAAACAGAAATAACATGACCTGATATTGGTCTCTAAGCACATTGCCCCCATGCACCAAAATTGTCAGTCTTTACACCAGCCAGAATTAAAAAGATCAGTGAAAGGGGGAAAACTGCAGTTCTTTATCTCTCTCATTCAATTAGCTCTGCATCAAGCCATGGACCTACAAAAGGTAGTTAGTCTCAAGTGCTGGATGATTGAGGGAGATTACAGTTTGCTTATAAGTCAGAGGTAGCCAAAATGCTGCCCTCTAGACATAACTATAACTCCAATCAGTGGTCAGAAATGATGGGACTTGTGCATTTTAGAGGACTTCACATGGAGGTAAATGAAAAACTAATTCCTTACGTTTAATTAACTGATGGGTTTGAATAATAAGAACAATGGTTTAGTTTATCAGAAAGGTGTTGCTGCCCTCGTGAAATATCAATCAAGATGATGAACCCTCTTTGAGATGAGGCCTTGTTCATGAAATAAAGAGATTCTGTGAGATTTTAGAAGAATTAAAGCTCGACTGTAATAATATGTTTTCAAAAGATGAGTCTCACCTGATTAAAGCTTTGGTGCCAGACAATTTGGTCATCATGAATTGTTAACTCTTTGCCTGGAGGAGCTTGAGGTTCTAGCCTTCCAACTTTTACTCTCATCACTGAGCCATTGGGAAACATCATCCAATTGGTAACATCAAAACTGGCCACCATTTCTCCATTTCCATCAAAGTGCACAATTTCTCTAGCACTATTATTGAATATGACCCTACTTAGAAAGTGATGGACCTAATTTGGAAGAGTATATTGACAAAGGGATAAATAATGATTCTAGGCCTCCCAAATATTCCAGTGTCTAGCATTCTTAAAAGTCTGTCTGGGTCTTCATCTATGTATGAGTTCACTTTCTATTGCTTACTGTCGTTCCACTCTATTAGGCAACAAATGCTTGGCCCATTATGGGAAAAAGGTCATTAGTAACATTACTTATCAAAATGAATACCCTCATACCCAAAGAGTCCCCTACTGCTGGAATTGTTTCATGCAGAGATAGAAGTGCCTTTATTTCTGGATCATAAGCTAATCTGTTCTGTAGCCATTGTATTTAATTGTCATTACCTGCCAGGGTTGTCTATTCTGAACAACTAATTTCCTTCCTTCTTCCACTGTTCTGTATTTGAAGCTGTGTATGTACATGGCATGCAAAGCATGTGCCACAGCATAGACAGCATTGTAGACATTGTAGCTGTGGCCAGTCATGTCCATTTCAAACAGAACTCCAGGAATATTCTCCATTTTCTCCTTTCCAGTACGGATTTTATTTTCCCTTTCCTCCTCTTCATTAGACTTTAATGAGCAGCTGAATGCTTGTTCCCAGAAATCCTGGATAAAACCATCTCCTTTGGCCCAGGAAGGTCTTACTCCCTTAATGAACTTTTGAAATTCCCAATGGCTGATTTGAATGAACGCTGAAGGATATGGTACCATGAAAGGCTTGTATATCCCAGATCTTTTGAATGGACAGTGATTCAAAATCCCAGTGGGATGTAACAATCCACACTTTGCCCAGAGGTGGCAGTGACAAGAAAGGTGCTAGAAATAGCAACATTCTCAAAACCTGAAAGGATGGAGGTTCTCCATATACAAAGAACACACTGACCTTTCTCTCCATGAGAATCTCATAGTTTTTTCGCTGCTGTATAAGCAATTCTATCAATTTATCCACATAATTACATTTTGGTATTCTTACTATGAAGGCATAACATATGCCATTCTGGGAGAGCATTGGCACCATGGTCTGTAAAAACTGGTCCCCTTTGTCATCTGCCACAGCCAAGAGCCCAACCCATGTCCATCTGAAATGCTGAAGTAACCGCACAGCTCCCATGTATTGGTAGGCTTCATTGGGAACCATCTGGTACAAAAATGGAAATAGCATTTTGCCATGTTGTACTGCCAGAAATGACCCATAAGTGAGCTGAAATAAAACATATAAGATTTTTTCACATAACAAAAAAGTATCCCAGAGCTGGAAATGGTCCTGTAGGCAATCAAGTGCAAAATCTAGCATGATGCAGAGAATCAAGCATTTGACCACCCATGATTTACAGCTTTTCATTCCTCTGCTTGAAGAATTCCAGGAAGTACCCTTTGATAATTAGTTCTACATCTGAACTGGACTGACATATGCAGACACTCTTTCAAGGTATCTGATTTTTTTCTTTGAAGCTTGTGAATCCTTACAGCAACAGGAAAAGGAAGGGGGAGGACAAGGTGCTTTGTGCTTTCTTATGGTTTGCAAATGGTCTCCATTTTTCTTGTCTTCTCCTGCATAATGAAAGAGATGAGTGTAGCCACTGCTATGTTATTCTGTTTGTTACTTTGCAAAGAGAGGGAAGGCTTTTGATTTATGCTCAACAAGGAATTTAGCAAGGTTTTACTATAGCTCTCCCCTCAACCGAGGCTGAATGGACTTTATTTAAAATTATTCATGGACTGGAGTAGGAGTGCTGTCGCAGGAATGTGGGGGCGGGGGAGAATGAACTGCTGAACAGATGTGGTAAAGAGGCTGAATTTGAGAAAAAAATCTTGTTTTTAACTGTGTTCAGAGGAAGAACTCCAGAGTGGAATTTTAATGGTGGAGACTAGCTCATACACTAGTCTGTTAACCAAGGAAGGAATGGAATGTGAACTTGTATTATCCAGATTAACACTGCAAATAACTGAACAATGGAAGATAGTAATTAACTCTCCCAGCACACCAGGTCTGGACCAACAATGTATATGAAGGACTACACATGTGAAATGGATTCTTTATTAATAAGATGTAACAGAGGTGCTGTTTGTATGGTGTAAAACGTGGCCAGCTGGACGAATGGTTTAATGGCAAGTGAAGGATGTCAACTGGACTCTAAATAAAAAATTATGCAGCTATGCGTGGGAATGATGATGATCATCTGTTTGGAACAGGAACAGGAAACCGGATTTTTTAAAAAAGCATTAAATTTAATTTGGTTTGATTTGTAATAATTTGGCAAACGAATAAAAATAATTTAAAAGAAAAAAGAAAACAAGAACGGTGAATACAGATAATATGTGCTTGCCTGATTTCCTTTCCTAAAAACGAATGAACATGTGAATTTCCATTTCCATGTGTGCTTGGAGTGGAATCCTCCAGCATCCCTGATCAAGATGGTGCATCACTTTTGTGGTATCTCTAGACCAAGAGCTTACCTGTGGAGTCTTGTGCATTGCTGAAATAATGGCCATATTGACAGAGATTTCAGAGATAGATCCACCAATGAAAGCTATCAGCTTGTTCTGGTCATCATCACAACAGAAGTTGGGGACAAACCGTTGTTGTTTGGAAAGCAGGCTTAGGCTGGCTTTATAGGTCATTCTTGCACTGAAGTAGCTATTGAGGATATAGAACCCCAGAGAGATGTTTGATAAGATGCTGGGATTCTCATTGATCTCTTTGACAGCAAATGCTAAAGCCAGAATGTGCTGGTAGTTCTTAGGCAGCGAACTGTAAAAAGAGGTACAACCTGTTTAATAAAACAATAGCCAAAGAGCCACAGAAATACATTTGTACACTTCATCATCATTCAACAGCAAACTTCTGATATTGAGATGTAACTCAATACTACAGAAGTTGCAAAATCCAAGGAGATAATAGAATAAAGCTAGCAGAAAGTATGTGTCAGGAATGAGCCAGCTCCTAGTGGAACTTTACAGCCAGCTGCAGAACAGAAAGGTTAGAATTGACGCAGGTTGAGCAAAGAACAAAGCAGACAGGGTTGCCTCCTCCAGGCATTGGAATGCCAGTTGCTGAGGAAATGACTGAGAGCGGGCTGGAACACAGCCAAAGTTCTCAGGAAGCTCAATCAGTCACAAACAGGCACAGAGATAGTCTGTCAGAACAGGAAGAGGCTGGAGCTAATCCAATAAGTCTGAAGAGTTGGTGAATGGGAGGGCGGCTGGATAGGAAGCAAAACAAGAGACGCAAGGGGTAACGGTTCAATATATTCTGTAGAAACTGGAAGGAGTCTTCAGAAGGGTCATCTTGAGTGATAATACCATCGGCTATGTTAGAGCCTTCCGGAGCTATCTGTTTGTTTTTGCAATAAATCCTGCTTTTTAATTACCTATGGTTACTGCGCTATCAAGCTAGGAACCTGGACTCCTGACAGTAACCTATACGAAACATATAGTTTTCTGATAAATATTTAAATTATCAGAATGTTTTGGGGTCATTTAAGGCCTTAGTATACTGTTCCTTGCATTGTTAGATTCACTTTCTTTACAAAAATAATGTTTTGTCAATGAAACACTACAACAGTAATGTAATGCAATGCAATGTAATAAAGGACGATTTTATTCATGTTTGCTAGAATGTGAATAGAACCCCTCTCACAATCATGTACCATGCCATATTAATCAACAGAGGGACTGTATGCAAGGACATTGTGAGTGGGACTTGAATGTGTGCCCATCCCTTGTCCACCCATTGAGCATTGAACATGCCTAAAAATCTGAATTCCTGAAAGGCAGGGACATATTAATGTAAATTAAATGCATCTACCATTTATCATAGGCATCTTCTCATTTAGGAGTCAGATTCGATTGATGGCCCCAATCCATGGTGCTTTAATATCCAGACACAAAGCCTATATTGCCCCAGTGTATAGTCTCAATGTGTTACAGCATGAAGGAGAAGAAATGATATCTTAATGATGTGCACTCTGATATTGAGAACCGAACTATTGTTGAATGAGCGAGAAATGGAAGTTTGTGTGGGAAGGGAGGGAAGGGAGAGAGAAGGAAGGAAGGAAGGAAGGAAGGAAGGAAGGAAGGAAGGAAGGAAGGAAGGAAGGAAATCTTACATGGATTCCTCAATCAAGGCCTGTGCTGGCTGTTCCAAGAAGGAGAGGTTGTTATAAAGGAAGTAGACTTGAGAAACAATCCCACCAATGGTAAAATCTCCTGACTGGTAAAATTCATGAGGGATAGGATGAGGATCATTATATATGGAACAATTAATAGAATGAGTCTTGCATACTGTATGACATAGCATTGCAAGCAGCAAAGCTACCACCAATATGATTTTGTTGACAAAAAGTCCCCTCCAAATGTATGTTTCCATCTACAGCACATATGAGGATATTACCAGTTTTGCTACAGCCTTCTTAGAATCGTAGCTGATTCTGCTGCTACACTTGGTTACCACGTGGTCTTCTAGGGAATTTGGGTGCCAGTCTTATATTTAAAAGTAGCTCCTTATCAATCTGTGACTTTCAACAGCATATTCCTGTTATCTCCTCTCTGTATTCCTGAAGGAAAATATTAAGAAGTATGCCTTTTCCTTTGCTTAAAAAATAGCCATGTGCTTCTTTTCACCTACAGGTATCTATTATCTTGTCTTAAAATGTAAGAAAAGAAGTGTAACCTTGAGGATTTTCAATCAGCTTGTCCAAAAGAATGTAAGGTACATTAGGGTATGGCAGTGTGCAGGAATGAATGTGTAAATCAATAACTAATAAACGTGGGACTTTTTTACAGTAAGGAATTGAGAAGTTGAAGATGAATAGAGCAATAAGAATGAGAACTGGGATAGATATACAGTAGTTTTTTTTAGTGGGTGGAAGGGACTTAAAATCATGACAGGAAAAGTTGATGGATGCAAGGGAAACAAATATAGAACAAATGATCATAGAAAGAAAATTGGCACCATCTTACCTATGCCGAGATTGTGTTCTTAACAAAATGTGTGATTTATAGCTGTCCTCAGATGCTTATTGTTCATCTTGCTAATGGACTCTGGATGTCAATTGTATGAGAAGATGAAAAACAGCAGTTATGATTATATCTTCCCCAGTGTGTTGTTGGTCTCTGCAGCTGCATCATGTGGAACTGCTAGGAGTTTTCCCCAAATTATAGAACAATTATTTTCTTCTTAGAAGGATAATAACTAGTTGGTGGAAATTTGCTGGGTGACCGCAAGTTACCTTTGCCTGGGACTATATCTAAATATGCTGCCAGGTTTTGTTTTTTTTAGTATGCATTTCTCATGATGTACAAATCTTTATGCAATTTTACGCAATATACACGTTTCTGCAATGCAGTGTTCCTTAATATAATGCATTTTTTTAAAAAAAATCTTTTCAATAATTTATGCATTTCTATGTACACTTTAGTCCGTCTAGTACACTTTAGTCTATGCATCATTGCACACATTATCTGGCTGCAGAACTGCATTGAAAAATTCAGAAACATGCACATTTTTAAGAATGCTTGTGTTCTGGCCACACATTGTTTCTGTAAATGTGAATTAAGTAGGTTGATATTTAAATGCAAACTAAATTGAATTTCTTCCTCATCCCTGGATAAGACTTACATCAAATGTACAAGCCATGCTCTACTCTTGCCCTGCACACTACTGTGCCCCTGGAAGCTTGCTCATATGCGAATATGGCCCATGGACTGAAAATCCCTGTTCCCCATGGAATTGTGGCAGGGTGGCAGCTGTGGCATGGAGTGGCCATGGTGGAGAGGGCGGCTCCTTGCCCTAGCCTCAGCATGACAGGAGGGGTTGTTTCTTCCTCTTGCATCCTGCTAGGTGCCAGGAAATGCATACAGGATACTGTGAAGTGTGAAATAGACTTCCCTGCCTGGGAGGGGTGAGGCCAGTACCAGTTACATGTGCTTGCCTTGCTCTGTTCAAGCCCAGGATAAGGGAAGGAATGGAAGGGACTTGGGAGAGCTCTCTTGCCTGGTCTATCTGCCCCAGCCAGCCCCCCACTCGCAGTCTCCCTCTGATTAAATTGCAGCACGTACCACTATTGACCTGACCCTTGAGCTGGAGAAGGCTGTGCAGTTGGTTGCTGACTCTGGGCCTCCTGGCTCTGGAGTCCTGGAGTCTGTACTCTGAAAAGTGACACCATGGACCTAGAAGGTGCAGGGCTTGTCAGTCCAAACCCTGCACAGTCTCATCAGGGTTGGCCTTAAGGCAATTGGAGCAATTTGCCCAAATAGGGCCCTGCAAGCGGCTCGTAAGGGGCCCCCAGCACCAGGGAAGCACTTCATGCACATTATACAGTGACCCCTGACAGTGATCAACCCCTACTATCCATCAACTGGGTTGGTCGATTTTACAATTCACACTCAATGCCTATGCCAAAACCAGCTTACATCTGTAATCAATATAAGTCATGGCCTGATTTGATGCCAATACTGGACACTTGAGTCTTCTTGCATGCCTGCCCCCTCCCCATGGCTCCAATGGAACTGGGCCCACAAATGTTCTTCAGTCCTGCTATATTAACTTTTCCAGTTACTCTATTCTCTGTAGTCATGCGAGGAGGAAACAGAGTGAACAAAAAGTGGAGGCAAGCGCAAGGAAACAGCAGAGAAAGGACTATTGGGAGTGAAATTAATCTATAACAATGGATTAATAATAATAAATACTGCTTTGTGTATATATGAGGACAGTGAAATTATGCAGATGTTTCAGAGAAAAGGTGCTTTTTCAGGATGGATTTTCATTCAAAGAAGAAATTGCAAGGTGAAACAAGAAGAAAAAACAAGGTGAGACACCAACTTTGGGATAAAGGAGGAGCTCAAGTTGAGTAACTGTTTAACTGGTTCTACAACAACTAATAGCATTGCTGTCTAATCAGTGTATATGTGTGCAATTCCTTCTAGTTCCTTTTTTTTTAAAAAAAATATTTATTAAAGTTTTTAAAATATAACAATGAAAAAGAATAAAAAAGAAAAAGAAAAACAAAATACAAAATACAACATAAGAACATTTAAAAAACAAATAATTTTCCATAATATATCTTCCATATACTTATTTCCTCCGGCCTCCTCATACCTCCCTTCTTTGTATTCCACTTCAATTTGTTTGTTCAGCAATTCCTTACCATTAAGCTTTTACCCATTTATAAACCTTTTTTTCGTATCTCCTAAAGCATTACAGCTGGAAACCCCTTAATTTCTATCCAACATCCTTCTAACATTCATTAATTTTACAATATTTCTGTAAATAGTCTTTAAATTTCTTCCAGTCTTCTTTCACCGACTCTTCTCCCTAGTCTCGGATTCTGCCAGTCATTTCGGCCAATTCCAGCAACTCCTTCTAGTTCCAACCTGGTTTCCAACAGAGAAGCAGATAGGACACAAATACAGTATGTAGCTAACGTAACATATAGATTGGCCTTATGTCACTGCTCAGCTCTTAATTGCAACAGGTTTTGTGGTATGTTGAGGGAGAATATCCATTCTGAACCATAGGCACAAGCGAGGGCACGTAGGAGTGGTTGGATGCAGAGATACTAAAGACGGATGTCAAAAACAACAGAATGGCCATTTCTAGTGCTTTATTTAGAATGTGTAGACTTAGAGCAAAGCAGCCTGCCAATCTCCTAGGCTTTGCAGACATGGGACGGAGACCACAGCAAGGAGAGGGCTTGTCTCTGCCCAAGCAAATATGCACATATTCTTTATACACAAAGCAGCATACCAGGCCCATTCTCTTTCCCCTGTCCCACAACCACCAAGATCCCTGGAGGGGAAAAGACACCATTTCAGTATAATTGCAGAATCCTTTTCCGCTTACACACCAACATGGAAGAAGGAGGGGAATCTGGTGGCCTTTTCCTTTCTTAAAGGAGCCACAGTTGTTGCATGGTCCCCTGTCTGGTAACCTCCAAGACACAGTAAAACATGGTATGCGAACCCTCATTACATTCTAATATAATTTCCTCATTCAGTGAGTGCATGTCCATATCTGGAAATGGAGTTCTATTTTAAGTTCTTGAAAGTTGTGTAAGGCATTTTAAATCAAAGGGATCAAAGTTTTGGTTTGGCAGCATTCAAAATGTCTCTTGGTGCAACTGCCTTTCTTGCTCTAAGGCCTACCCACTCTGTGCACCTGTTCAATGTCAGGGGGAACAATGGGGGCAGGTCTATCTTCAAACTGTCAAAACAACTTAAAATAAAAGCAATAATCTCTCCTTCCCTCTATTTCCGGAATCCTGCATAATTTACACCCCCCTTTTTATCTCTATCTGATTAATCTGTGATATGTTCAATTGTCGTTTTGAGTGCTTGCAGCTCCATTTGGATATTTAAGCTGGTGTTAATCGCTTGGTTAAAAAACAATTAAACATTGGTAGAATTAAAACTATATATAGAGAAATGATTGAGAACGTAAAACAGTTATAATAAAAACAGCACGGCACCCGCCCTTTCATTACAAGCATTCAGTTTCCAAAAGCCTGTTGGAACAAGTGAGTCTTCACTTCCCCGTGGCAGGACAACAAGGTGGGAGCCAGTCTAACCTCTCTAGGAGCAAGTTCCCAAGGGCCTTCCCTGAATATCTCAGAAACTGGGAAGCTTCACATGAGGGAATACGGTCTTAAAATATACAGATGAACATACAGTCTTTCATTTTCTCCCCTTTATTAGCTGGTCTCTGCTGTTCAGTTCAGGCCTCAGCACAATGATATAGCATTTTGGGAAAAAGATGCAACCCAGTAATCCAGCACTAGAAGACAGGATGGAGAAGATCTCCACAGCCACCATGTATTTTCCTTTGGTGCTCAGGTAAGTTGGAACAAAGGATAACCAAACAGTGCCAAACACCAACATGCTGAAAGTGATGAATTTGGCTTCGTTGAAACTGTCAGGTAACTTCCTAGCCAGGAAAGCAACAATGAAGCTGACAATGGCCAGGAAGCCCATATAGCCCAAGACACAGTAAAACATGGTAGCCGAACCCTCATTACATTCCAGGATGATTTCCCCATCCAATGACTGCATGTCCACATCTGGGAATGGAGGAGAAACAAATAGCCAAACTGTGCAAATACCAACTTGAATAGAGGAGCAGGAAAGGACAATTGAATTTGCTAGTCCTTTCCCAATCCATTTTCTCATCCTGGATCCTGGTTTGGTTGCCATGAATGCCAGAACCACAGTGATGGTTTTTGCTAAAACGCTGGAAAGGGCCACAGAGAACACAATGCCAAAAATTGTCTGTCGGAGAAGGCAGGTCACCATTCCAGGCTGTCCAATGAAAAGCAAAGAACAAAGGAAGCAAAGGAGGAGGGAGATGAGGAGGGTGTAAGTGAGGGTCTGATTGTTGGCTTTGACAATGGGAGTCTCGTTGTGCTTCCTAAAAGTCCCCAGTATTAAAATTGTGATCAAAGAGAAAGAAATAATCAAGATAGCTAAGATGATCCCTAAAGATTCTTTGTAAGTGAGATAGTTTGGGACCCTTGGAATGCACTCAGTTTGGTCCTTGTTGGGATACTGATCTTCAGGGCAGTTGACACAGGTGTCCATGTCTGGGGGAAAAGGAAGCAATGCTATAAGCATTTCAAGATTTATCAAACATTTATCAAAAGGAATTAAGTTTTCCACAGAGTGAAATTACTTTTTTTTCACATTTTGTAATTCCCTTAACTCTAAGGGAGTCCATTAATTGCAAAGTATGCATCATTTTGTTTAATCTTGGTTCCACAAAGATGATGGGAACTGTGGTGAAGTGGCACTTTACATAGCCCAGAATCTCCTCCCCCCATGACCAGGTATTTCCTGATTACTATATCATTTTAAGCCATATCTTCAGAATGCAGCCTTTCACAAATGCCATTCTTTCTCAAATGCCTTTCTAATCTCATGTGGTCTAAACTGCATGGACAACAGTTCTTGCTGTTTTCTGACTACATGTCCACTTTGCAGAACATAGTGATGTCTGGCAGCTATAAGAGGCAAAAGCCATGGGATGGCTCCATGAGAGCATAGGTGAGAGAGCAAGTGTTTGTATGAGAGGCAAAGAGCTTTTAAGGATAAGTACAATAGTGATGGATATACAAAGGTAAAGAAGGGCAAGGTAAGAGTGGAGGAAGGAAATCAAAGTGTGCATTTTAATTTTTTCATTTAGCTTGCAACATATACTTCTAATTTGTTTATTTTTGTTGTTGTTAGTGTGATTTTTACTGCCATTTTTATTGTGTTTGCTATGTAGACAGCTTTTTTACTTTTTACTTTCTTGGGCTCCATGATCACTGCAGATGGTGACAGGAGTCACGAAATTAAAAGATGCCTGCTTCTTGGGAGAAAAGTGACAAATCTTGACAGCATGTTAAAAAGCAGACACATCCCCTTGCCGACAATGGTCTGTATAGTTAAAGCTATGGTTTCCCCAGTTGTGATGTATGGAAGTGAGAGCTGGACAAAGATCTGTATAGTTAAAGCTATGGTTATCCCAGTAGTGATGAATGGAAGTGAGAACTGGACCATAAAGAAGCCTGGTCGCCAAAGAATTGATGCTTTTGAATTATGGTGTTGGAGGAGACTCTTGAGAGTCCCATGGACTGCAAGAAGATCAAACCTATCCATTCTGAA